TTTTGCTCAAGGACTAGCAAAAGATAAGTTTGGGAAGTTTGTTGGGTTCATTTTTATACATGATTTATGTCATTCACCCAATATTTTGAGTTAGTTCTTGACAATTTATAACTTTATACTTCTTTTTTGTGTTTTAATAAGTTTTACCTTGGTTGGAAGAAATATGAGCTAAAAGTGCATTATTGAATATAAATTTTAGTTTTGCTCATTTTTGTAGGCAAAATTCTTGGCTTTGGATCACCATGTTTTGGTGCTGGGATGTGGTAAAGGTCTTCATAAAATTTGTTCCAATGGGTGTCGACTACAACATATCCGAAATTTAGCGCCATTGAACAAGTATAGCTTAGCCAAACGATCTAGCATTTTATCATAACTCTGTAAGTCTGTTTTGAGTCACTTTTACCCCCTTTTGGTATCATCTCCCTTTCTAATTGTTACCACATCTCTTGGTAACAATTAATTACATTGTAAAGATTTGATTTTCTAATTGGTAATAAATGAGAATCTCTCTTTGTGTATTAAAAGCCAAATGAAATGATGAAATAGGGACATTAGCCTACCTAGCTTTAGGAAAAGGTGAAGTATCCTATGGATTGATGAGTTGGTAAGAAAGAGAGGGTAGCTAGGGGGAGGAAATCAACTCATCATTCAATCGTTCCAATTTCTGAAACAAGAGAGAGAGGAGAGCAAGGAGCAGCCAAGCAAAGGAGGCTACCAAATAGGAGAAGAAACCATTCCACCTTTGAAGGCTTTTGTGCCTTCATCTCTACTAAATCTGTAAACTTTTGTAAACTCTTTCTAGTTATATGTTGAAGTTGTGTTTGTAATAAGTATAAGGAACTAAACTCCATAGCTAGGGCTTAGGTTGAAGCCCTAAACATGATTACTCTATTGTTTTGATGCTTGAGTTAATGGATTTCTAGATGTTGTTGATGAATTCATTTTCACTAAATTAATCATATGCTATGTGTTTGCTTCCTTTGATTGATCACCTTAGGTTGTATGCATCTAGCTAAAGTTGAGAAGTTGTGTAGATACCCAAGAACATAATTTCTAATTAGCAACAAATGATTGAATCCTTTCTAAGTAAGCATCATGTGAATTGGTTTCTTAACAACAAATGATGAATTCCTCTTCACTAAAATAATATATCCTTGCTGTATTTTTATATATTTATTAATCACCCTATAAAGCATGCTTTTTGAGATTGTTGGGATTATATGTACCTTCATGTTTTCCTAAGTAACTAATGGATGAAGTAAGAATCATTCATGAGAATTGATTTCTTGAATGCCTAATGTAAATACCATACTATTAGGGTTCTTGTGATGTTCATATTCTCTTCAATCTTAATGGGTTTTTTCATATTATTAAATCAAAGTATTAAGTACACCTAGATTGATTGTATGGAAAGCAAGAGTATTGTAGCACTAAACACGCATTTTACTTATTTTAGAGAGAATCATGCGTCTTGAGCCACTAAACCCGGTCTTGACTGCAAACATCTTCATCAATGCATCTAGAGTTCATAACTTGAGTGTCCATGGACATGAGTAGGATTGTTTAGGGTGGATTCCGAAAATACTAGTGTTTGTTATCATTTTAATTTCACACTTTGATAATCATTTATATTGGTCTTGTTAAAATTAGAGTTCGGTTATATTTTAAGCATTTGAATTAGTTCACTTGAATCAAAATCACCCTTTTTGTTTTGTATGTGTTTTTGAAATCTTGAGTGTTCTTTCCATTGAAGTATGCTCACTTTTGTGTCTGTTTTTGACATTTGGATCGAGATAAGTTCTTCATTTTTCCGTGCTGAATCCAACTATATAAAGAATGTAACATTATGATTAACGGTTGGAAAGTTATAGGTCCAAAACGGAACAGAGGTCAAAGCTGGAAAACGGAGGAAATTCGTTTCTCTCTTATGCCAAAAAGCGATGGATAGCTTTCCAAAAGCAATCGAACTGTGCTATAGTACCCAGGTGATAAAATGGTGATACAGTGGTGATACAGGAGTGATACAAAATGATGATTGTGTTTTCTTTTGGTTTCTTGTTTTTGTTTCATTTCTCTCACATTTCTGTACTCTTTCCTAGTATTTGATTTATATATTACCTTTGTGATTGTGTTAAATAAGTATTCTATATGTACTGGATTTACATATAAACTCCAATTCCTCGTGGGAACGATCCCGTATTTACAAATTTAGACTCTAATAGATTCATACACTTACGAGTATTTTTAATTGAATGATTAGCACATTAATTTATGCCAATTATTAATACAACATAATGCTATTTCTGTTTTTAATAAGTTTATTAATGATTGTGGTTCCATTTCATTACCTGCAAAAGGAGTGCCTTCCTCTTGGTCAAATGGTCAAGAAGATTAGTCTATTATTTTTGAAAGACTTGACAGAGTCCTTGTTAATCCTGATTGGCTTAGTTTGTACCCCAACTTTGAGTTAACCAATTTGCCTATTTCAAGATCTAATCATGGGCCCATTATTCTGTCTTACTCGAATCCTAAATAGTTTAAGGAAAGCCCTTAAGCTTGAAGCCATGTGGCTTTCTCATGTTGATTTTCCTAGGTTGTCAATCGGGTTTGGTCTCAGTTTTATGTTGGAGACTCTGCTCAGCAAATCTCCACTTATTACAGATCTTTTCAAATGAATCTTAGAAGGTGGAACACTGAGGTGTTTGGTAACCTATTTTAGCAACTAAAAGATACTCAGGAACATCTTGAAGCAATCCAAACCCAGTTAGCAACTTCACCTACATCCACTTTTCTTATTATTGAGGACAAGGACCTCAACCTTACTCTTAAAAATCTTCTTGAGAAGGAGGAATTGTTCTATGCCCAAAAAGCTAGGGCAAACTGGCTCCACTTCGGAGACAAGGACACAAAAATTTTCCAAACCCAAGCCATAATAGCACTTGGTGTGATCGTATCACATGAACTGTATTTGTATAGTTTACTTTTCTTTTCTCATTAATGGGACCCCTGGAGGCTTTATTGCCCCTTCCAGAGGTATTAGACAGGGGGCCCGTTTTCCCCATACCTTTTCATTTTATGTATGGAGCCTTTTATTATGCATCTTAATAGTTTGGTTGCTTCTACTAAATCTTAGGCTGGTTTACTTTCTTCTCCTTTCAGTTATCGTATTTCAAATCTAGTTTTTACTGATGATTGCTTGATCTTCACTAAAGCCTCTCCTTTAGCTCCTAGAAATGTTAAGAAAGTGCTTGAGGCCTTCTCTCTGGCCTCAAGGCAACACATCAACTACCAGAAGTCTACCCTATATTTCTCACCCAAATTCCCCTCTAGTGTGAAGAATAACATTAGTACCATCCTCAAATCCAACATAAAACCATTATAGGTAGATACCTTGGGATACATAATATTGTTTTTTGAAAAGATTCCCGAAATGCCAAGGAGTTAATTGATAGGATTCATTTTAAGTTTGCAGGTTGGAAGGCAAACACACTCTCTAGGGCTAGGCATTTAACCTTGATTAAAGCCAATGTTTTTGGAATCCCTAATCATATTTTCTCATGTTTTAAATGCCTTCCCCAAGTAGTGAAAGAAATGAATAAGAGTTGTAGGAAGTGTTTTTGGGGGCAATGATAGGTTGAACCCTATCTCTGGGAAATATGTGTCTCCCCAAGGACTGTGGAGGTCAGAATTACTAACCATTTTAACCTTGCAGCTTTAGCTAAGCTTGGTTGGAAATGCCTTACTCACCATTCTAATTGGTGGGTCAAAATTGTAACTCAAATTACCTAAGAGCACTTCCAACGGGTCAGTTTTGCCAGGGCCAAAAAGAGCCCAAGCTGGGTTTAAGCAAAAGGGCCCCATTTACCCAGGCAAGCCCAAAGGAGCTGCTGCCTGGGTTTGCTGATGTCGATGTCAGCAACAAATGTAAATACAATATATATATATATAAATACCAAAAATTTCAGAAATTTTTTTTCTATAATACCTAGTCATGTTATTTACTTCCCACACCAAAACTTCATACAAATTTCTCTCCTCATATTTCATGTGAATAGTGCTTGCATTTACTTGCCATGGCAATGGGTGGAAAAACAAAATAAAAAAGGGTAGGGCAGACACTATTACTATTCACATGAATAGTGTCTACCCTTACTTGCCATTGCCCTTTAACTTAGCACCGTAGGTGGAAGTGTTCTAAGAAAAGAGAGTTTCTTAACCCTAAAAAAGAAATCCAATCCCCTTTCCCTCTACTTTACTTGATTCCAGAGCACCAAAGATATTACTTGGACTTAAATAACAAAGTTTCATATTTAATTACCAACAACTCTTGGGACAGAAATAAGCTCATGCAAAATCTTAGATGAAGATGTTATTGATAAAATTTTATCTATTCCTTTACCCATTTCTGATTTACATGATCAAATGGTGTGGGGCCCAAATCCTAGTGGTGTCTTCACCATAAAAAGTGCATATCAGGTTCAAATTCAAGAGAATCCATCCCATCCTCAAAACAAGCTACTCAAGGAGATGTGGAAACTTAATATCCCTCCCAAAGTGAAGATTTTTGCTTAGATGCTTATCAGAAAAAGACTACAAGTCAGAAGTAGATTGAATATATTTCTCCCTCAGTTATGCCTTTGACTGTGCTATTTGTCAGGAACATCCAGAATATGTTCAACATTTATTTGCTGAATGCTTTTTGGCCAGGAATGTTTGGGGTTGCTTATCTACTTTTTCCTCTCTTCATGCGCCAAACCATGATTTTATTGGGTGGTTGTCTCAGTTACCTTGCAATGCTCAATATCAGGAGTTCGATCATCTTTCCAAGGCTATCCTAATTTGCTGGCAAATTTGGGAGGCAAGAAACAACTTATTTTTCCATAGTACCCAACCGCACCCTACTAGATGTGTTCATGCTGCTGTTGTTGTGGGTCTGGATTATTGGCAACAAAACCACATTGTGAAACCTAAGGCCTCAAGCCCCTTGGCCATTAAATGGCATGCCCCCTGTTGGTTGGATCAAAATTAACTTTGATGGATCAGTTCAAAATCTGCAAGGCACTACTGGTTTTGTTATTCACAACAGTGATGGTCATGTCTTGCATGCTAGTGCAAACAAGATTTGTGAGACTACCATTAATGTGGCTGAATGCTTGATGTTAAGGGATGGTCTTGCTCTTGCCCTTCACCGCGGGTGGTGTAAGATCATTGTTGAAGGGGATTCCAAGCTTATCATCGACAGTGTGCTTAAGAAGGTTTCGATTCCATGGAGTATCCAACAAATTGTTTAAGATATTTCACTGTAGATTTTGTAACTAATATGGGCCATGGGGCCTCTCAACTTCTGTTGTTTGGGAGCATGGGCTGCCTCTCTCTGTTGTATCTCCCTTCCATTTTGACCTCTTTGGACTTTCTTGCTTTAGAGGTTTTGTTTTGTAATTTTCGGTATAAATATGTAAAAAATACAAAAAATAAATAAGAAAAGCTCCGTCCAAAGTTGCAACTTGCAGAGCTCTTTGTAAAAGTAAATGGCTCTCTCCAACTAATAATGGAGATGCGACCAAAAACATAAAAGTGTACAAGGAAAGTCCGCTTTCTCGTCGTTTAGCTGGTGCACGTTCCAAAATCACATTGTAGGTTTTGTTTTCGTGCTGAAAAGTTATCAAGGCCAATCTAGTCTTTCAACAAGACTGCGTGAGGTCAAGAGTTACTGGAGGTTGTGTTGCGATGAGGGGGGAAAAAAAAATCTTTCCCCAATTTAATTTATTTTATTCTTTCCAACTATTCAATTTGTTTTTTTTTTTTTGCCAAAATTACTCATTAATTTTTTCAAAACCATGTTCCTTCATTTCTTCTCTATACCCAATAATCTTGACAAGAACAAATATTGGCCAAAATTTGAATCAAATAAGTTTTTTCTTTTCTTTTTGGGAACCGAATACAATTATACAATCTATAAAGGCCGTAGATAGTTTCAATATGCATATAAGACCAAAAAAATAGTATGACCAAACAATTTTTCGTATTATATTTTCATGAAGAATTTCACCATTTGATGTATATATTTTCTTTGCTTTTTTTGTTTTAAAAACCATAGGTAGATTGTATTGGATTGCTTTTTTTTTTCTTTTTTTTTAAAGTACAAGCGATTAGGTAGGCAAGGGGTTTACACAAATATTCATTGGGCGTCTGGGGTTTTCGAACCTCTGCCACTTGGTGAAGGTAGGAGAGCTCAACCAATTGAACTATACCTCATTGGTATATTAGATGGTTTTGGTGGGTGCTGAATCTCTGCATTTAGAATTTGTGCATTTACCTGCATTTCGTGATATCGAAACCATCCAAATAATCTAATGGCTTAGATCAATCCACATCAGCTAGCTAGGATTTTTTTTTCTTTCCAAATGATGGTAATGTCGTTACTCTCTTCACAACCCTGAAACCCAAAAACCCAAACTTTCTCAAATGGCATCTTCTTTCCTGCAACTTAATCTCCAATTGCAGCAACTTTGAGCAATTTCTCTTCTTCTCTCTCTGAAACATCAAATTTAAAGTCAAGCAAATCACACTCCAATTATTTGTTTTGGCTTTCCTTGGAAATATTGATAATTATAAGAGAAGTAGTTAGACATAGTGATCCTCCTCCTTGGATCCAAGTTCGAATTTTTATATTCGTAGATTAAACTGAAATAATTTAGATGATAGTATTAAAAAAAAACAATAATTAATTGGTTATCTTCTTAACATTAATAGGATTCTTTCCATCGTTACCCTCCTTTATTTAGATTTGTTACAATCCAATATTCTTTTCTGTTAGTAACTACTAACAAAAAGTATCATTTTGTTATTTCATCACATTTGATTGAGGAAACAACAATTTCATCCTCCGTAGACAAAAAAACAATTTTTCCCTCCTAATTACTGAGGAAACAATTTTCTTTCCTTATCTTATTATTTTTTTCCGGAGCTTTTTATTTTTATTTTTTATGGTCAAGGTTGGAGCTAGTTCGTTGATGAATTTTCAACAGTTATGAACTTCATTTTTTTTAGTACAAGCAATAGTCTAAATTATAGGGGAGGAGAATTTCTCACACACACACACACACACAACTATGATGTCGTAGGGATTTGAACTTGAAAAATCTAGTCTACAAGTCAACGCCATTTTCTACTGGACTAGACCCGTGTAGGGGTCTTTTTGTTCCAGCAGCCTGATGAATGGCTTGGACTGTTGTAAGAAGAAAACGAACAGAATTCCCCCAGTGCCTGAGTTCGAAAACCAAGCTCCCAAAAGAGTTTTTGAAGAGTTTGATGAAACTTTAGAAAAACTCTCTTAGGTTCTTTTCACCAATAGCCAAATAAACATAATAAATTGGTGAATGACTTGGTTTGAGGAGCTTGTGGCATGAGAGCTAAGCTTTCACAAGTTTAGCAATTTGAGAGAGAGAGAGAAGCATGAGTTTCTTTACAGAGAACAAAGGCAGAGGAAAATTAAGGTCTTTATCTCAGGGAAAGAAGAACATGACCGAAGAAGAAGATTGGGTGGCTTGAGCAAATTCTCAGTTGCTTGACAAAGCTTGGTCAGACTTTGGATGATCTTACTGGGTAGAGAAAGCTCCCTTTTATAGGCACAAAGAACCCTAATTTTATCTAACCTCCTTCTCCCTTTTTCTTTGTTTCTTCCCACTTAATCCTATTTGGTGAAATTTTCCTATCCAAGGCGCATGGATAAGGAGCCCTTTGGGGTTCCAAGGGTTTGATGTAGCTGGACTTCTCCATAGGGGTGAGGTGCCACCCACTTTCTTCCTTGGTTTTCCTATAGGAGCTAACAGAGGAAAAGGAGAATGGACATATCGTTTTGTCCAATGAGTATCCCTCATTCTCGTACGAATTTCTTTTGGTTTTTAGAGTGGCTTCCGTTGACTCTGTCATAGAACTTTGGGCAAAGGCTGAACACGCTACTAGATATTTTGTAGAGCACTAGGCTGGGTTTTTCCCAAAATTTTGGGTCGATGGTACTCTATTCTACAACGACCAATTAGCTTGCTTTTTGTCAATCTGCTGGAAGTAGTTTGCCTGCTGCGTTTTTAACAAATTATTTGGGTGCTCTAACTAACGTAGGGTTTTCTAAGCAAACCATTGTATTCTTTTTAAGGCATTGGGTCATGTTCTCTCTCTCATGCTAGCCCATGTGTTTGGGCCCAAGAAATGAGCTTGAGTTTTGGTGCTCCCAAGCATCCCAAAACTCCCATTCCTTGATCCCTCAATGGGCCTTGTGAATACTTGTACCCATCCACCCCACAACCTTCTCAGCAAGCCGCGGGTAATTATGTGGCTTGGGCCTACTTAAGCCCATAGCATGACTCGATATTAAAATAGTGGTTCTTCCTTCCTACATGGCCTCGCATGTTTATTTAGCCTACTTGGGCTTGATTTTTATTAGGCCACAATAAGCCATGATCAGGCCAAGTAGCATCGGATTACGTTGGTGAGCGTGAATTTATAAAGCCGGTGCATTTTTGGCCTTTTTACGCATGCTTGCTTAACGTGATGCATGACCCATGGCTCATGTAGGTGCGTCCTCCAATTTTTCTTATGTCCCGATTGGGTTTCTTTCACGATCAATTTATTCGTGTTGGGCTAGGAATAAACTTGGGCCTACTCCTTGGATTTTTGGGCCTCAACAACCCGTATGCAACAATTATGAACTTGATAGAAAGGAAGGGTCGATTATGCATAAAATATAGGGAGCTTCACTAATATACACAAAATAGGGGCTGAAATTATATAATAATAAAAAACTCCGCATGGAATGCACTTTACAAACACACCCAAAATTCATTTACTACATAAGAAATTGGTGTTGAAGTTCCTATAAATTACGTGACTGCCATTGATCAACTTGAAAGAAGCTCAACACAAAAAAACTTAAAAAGCACCCAAAACAAGCCCAACCTAATTTTTTTTTAAAAAACCCAAACAATTCATTATAAACAAAATGTCTTGAAAATTGTAGCTTCATTAACGCGTCATGTTGATTAATGACTGTAATGTTCTACACTTTTACTGTCATGTTGATTAATGGTTGTAATGTTCCAGTCTAAGGTAATAACACTGCTAGTTTCCTATGACATCTTATTTATAATGCATGTATATCTCGATAATGTTCCAGTTTAGAGTAATAACACTACTAGTTTCCAATGACATCCTACTTCTAATGCATGTCTACCCTTGTAATGTTCCAATCTAGGGTAATAACACTGCTAGTTTCCTATGACATCCTGTTTCTAATGTATGTCTACACTTGTAATGTGTTTAGGGCAATATCACTATTAGTTTCCTATGACATCTTATTTATAATGCATGTCTACACCTGTAATGTTCCAGTATAGGGTAATAACACTTCTAGTTTACTGTCATGTTGATTAATGGTTGTAATGTTACAGTCTAGGGTAATAACACTGCTAGTTTCCTATGACATCCTATTTCTAATGTATATATACCCCTGTAATATTCTAGTCTAGGATAATAACACTACTAGTTTATTGTCATGTTATTAATAATCTGTCATAGAAGTACATTGTTAAACAAAAATGAGATCCATAACTGAAATAGTAACAAAAGATAAATTGATCATCAAAGCTGAAAAAAAACATTTCGAAAATAAACTAAAATCCGAAGAGAAACACATAATTGAAGCAAAAGATCAAAAATCTCAAGTCCAAACCAAACAAAGACGACAACAATGACAGCGAAAGAGGAGTAGAGCTAGGAGTATCTGATCGAGGTTCGTTCGCGGTTTCGAACAATCCAAAAAATAAAAAAAAGAATAAAAACACGATTTTAGAACAAGAAATCGAAGGTGAAATATTGAAAATTGTAGATCAAAGATGAAGAATATAGTTGAGACCTGATTTCTGATTTTCAAACTCAAATCCATAGTACAAGAGTAATATAGGTATTTTACACACACAAATAAACTAAAAAATAGCTATTAAATTGAAAAAATCCACAACGGTTGATTTTTGGGGTTTTTTTTATTTATGTGTTTATAGTTTTTAAGTGGTATATGGTTTCTTTATAAGACTATGTCTAAGATTTATATATAACTAAATTTGTATAAAATATATTCATGTTATTTAAGTTTTAACAATCATAAAAATATTTAATATTTTAAGCCTCCACTTTTAGATGTAATTAATACGTCATCCGGGTAGTTAAATGAAATTTTCTTGAAACGAACACCGAGCCTGGCATTGTTCTTAATTCTTATCTTGCTTTTATCCTCATCATTACAAGGTGGCAAGTGGTGAAAAAACAAAGGAAGATATGGGCCAACCAGTGCTGGACACCAAATGACCAAATCATCCCCAACAGACATCGACCTGGGCCAATACACAAAAATAGCACGTGATTTTTTCACCCCCAAAAAAAGGAAAATTAGCTAATATCATTTCTTCTATAAAAAAAGCCTCTCCTACACATCACACTCAGCAAAGCTTCACTCATGGCAAAAATGACATCCCCCAGCAACACTCTCTTCTTCTACCTCCTTCTCTCCCTCTTCTTCACCCTCGCTTTCTCCGACGTAATTCACCTTCACCTTCACCTTCATCTTTGCTTTCACCTTTCGTCGTTTTCTAATTAAATTTATTTTTTATACAAGCGGTATTTAATTTAATTTTTTTTCACAGGACCCGGATTGCGTGTACACGATCTACGTTAGGACCGGGTCGATCTTAAAGGGCGGGACGGACTCCAACGCCAACGTCCGGCTCTACGACGCGTATGGCTACGGGATCGAGATCCGGAACCTCGAGACCTGGGGCGGGTTGATGGGTCCCGGTCACAACTACTTCGAGAGGGGAAATTTGGACATTTTCAGCGGCCGCGGTCCCTGCCTCCAAGCCCCCATCTGCGCCCTGAACCTCACCTCCGACGGATCCGGCCCCCACCACGGCTGGTACATCAACTACGTCGAGGTCACCTCCACTGGGGCCCACATTCCTTGCAGCCAACAGCTCTTCACGATCGAGCAGTGGCTGGCCACCGATACGTCCCCGTACGAGCTCACCGCTGTTAGGAACTACTGTAACTCGGATGATGACGGTGTCCAGAAACGGCGTCATACTCACCGCATGATCCGGTCCGGTTCGAGCGGTTTGGTTTCTGCTGTTTAATAGTGGGTGTGTTTGGATGCGGGTTTAATTAGTATCTGTGTAAGCATAATCTGGCTGTTGTGCTTGTTATGGTGGTTAGTACAGTAGGGATATCGGATTATCCATGCTGTTCAGTTGAGTGGCGCCGTTGAGTTTCTAGACTGTATTTGGCCAAATAAAGAAAATTAATTATGGGGTTTATTATTATTTATTAGCATATTAATTTGGATAAGCCCTGATCTGTGAAGTTTAGTAATGAGAATGAGACAGGTTGTGGATTTGCAGGAAATTTTATAAGGAAAATTAGGTTTTAGCCAAAAAAAAATTTTCACTTTTGGAAAAAGCCAAAGCTTTTTCAAAAAAGACAGAAAAACCTTTCAACTTTCAAATCAAAGACATACAAATGTAAAGGATTCCTTAGGAAATCCAAAAATAAATAAGGGCAATTTTGTCCATTTTGGCTTCTTTTACAAAATTTCTCTCTCCTTTGTGTTTTTCCAAAGTCTCCCAATTTTATAATTGGGTGATTGGGTGTCGGTGGGATCTGGCGAAGAAAAATATTCTGGCAATTTGTCGTGGTTGTCTTAAATAGTCATTAATGGCATCTAAATATCAACTATGATTAATTAAAAGGAATCGACCCAAAAAATAATAATAATAAAAAAGGAATATGCAAAGGATATGCATAATTAGTCCTTTAAGATATCATTGATTGTTAGTGGAGTCTAGCGGAGTGAAAAAGACATTGAAATGAGACCTTCTTGCCAAAGTGAAATGTTACTTCTCCTTGGGCTCCTAGCAAGGGCCCCAATTACAAGGGATGGGCATGGTCCGGTTTGGTCTGTTTTAACTCTAAAATTAAAATTTGGTATTATATTCATAGGAAATTGAGTTATATACCAATATCATATAACTGGTCTAGTTTGGTTTTTAAGTGGCAAAAACTAAGAACCAAATTGATTTTTTCGTTTTCTCCCAAATCGGTTCAGTTTGGTTCACCGATTTACAAGTTCAAATGCCCACCACTATCAATTACATTAGGTGGACAGCTGAGAATTCTATGGTTAGAAGATGTCATGATTAACTCGATGGGGGCTATTTATCCAAATACTTGCTGCAAAAGTAGTTTGGTATATTATTGCTTAGACATACTATGATGGATCTAGTATATCTCAGATCTATGAACTTCACTAAACAATGAAGGATTGAATAATTGTGAATGATTTTATATTTTTCCAAGAGGAGGATATATATACAAGTACAAGTTGACTTTTCCTACAAGGAAAGACAAGGAAAGGTAATTAGCTAATTACAAGGAATCATAACTAGGTAACTATTCTAATTAGGTAACATGAATTACACTAGGAAATCAGGGATCACGGGATCCCTGAATTATGGCTCACGCCAACACTCCTCCTCAAGTTGGTGTGTAGATATTTCCTATGCCCAACTTGTCAAGCGAGTCATGCAAAACCTTTGCTGACACTGCATGGGTCAAGACATCTGCAAGTTGTTCTTCTGACTTTACAAATGGTACATCGATTAGCTTATCTACCAGCTTCTCCTTGATATAATGCCTAATCCACTTCAAATGCTTAGTTATGTCATGTTGAATTAGATTATTTGCTATCTCTCTTGCAACTTGGTTGTCACAGTAAAGCTCCATGACTTTCTTTAGTGGAAAATCAATTTTAGGCAAAAGTATCCTTAGCTAAAGAAGCTCACAAACTCCATGTGTTATGCCCCTCTATTCTGCCTCAACTGAAGATTGAGCCACTATATTTTGCTTCTTACTTCGTCATGTAAACAAATTACCCCCAATGAAAGTGAAGTAACCTGATGTAGAACATCTATTTGTTATATTGTCTGCCCAATTTGCATCTGTATAACCCTTGACATCCAAATGTCCCAGTTTTCTGAATATCAAGCCTCGGCTTGGAGCTTTCTTCAAATAACTCAAAATCCTCATAACTGCCGCTAAGTGTTCCTCACTAGGAGAATGCATGAATTGACTAACAACACTAACTGTATATGTGATATCTTGTGTAATGTGCAAAAGATAAATTAGTCTTCCCACTAACCTACGATATCTCTCCTTGTTGGTTGATACTGGATCATGATAGATTGCTAGGTGATGATTCTACACAAGAGAGGTTTCGGCTAGTGCACAACCTAACATACTAGTGTCTGTAAACAGGTCTAGAACATACTTCCTTTGAAAGAGACAAGTAGTAGTAGAAGAGCGAGTTACTTTGATTCCCAGAAAATACTTCAAAGCTCCCAAGTCTTTCATCTCAAACTCTAAGGCTAAGTACTTATGTAATTTGCCCATTTCAACAACATCATCACCAGTAACTACCATATCATCGATATATATTATCAACAAAGTAATCTTACCATCCATACGTTTGATAAATAGGGTATGATCCGAGTTACCTTGATGATATCCATACTTCTTCATTGCTTCAGTGAACCGCCCAAACCATGCTCATGAAGACTGCTTCAATCCATAAAGGGTCTTTCGAAGCCTACACACCTTCCTACCATTATTAGACAACTCATAACTAGGTGGCATGTCTATGTACACTTCTTCTTCTAAATCTCCACGTAGAAAGGCATTCTTCACATCGAATTTCTTGAGAGACCAATCTAAATTAGCTGCTAAGGACAATAGAACTCGCACCGTATTCATTTTTGTCATCGGTGTAAACGTATCATGATAATCAACTCCATACGTTTGTGTATACCTTTTGGCCACAAGTCATGCTTTATATCTATCTATTGTGCCATAAGCTTTGTGCTTAACTGTGTACACCCATCGACATCCAACAAGTTTCTTTCCTTCAGGTTGTGGAACTATCTCCCATGTTCCATTCTTTTGTAAGGCCTTCATCTCCACATTCATTGCTTCCACCCATTTTGGGTCTTGAAACGCTTCTTCCAATCTATTAGGAATTTTAATTCCTTCCATCTGACTCACAAATTCTTTAGCTTGAGGAGACAATATGTGTGTGGTGACATGATCAACAATGGCATATTTCACCTTGCCTTCTGGTAAGAATATGTCTGATAGTATTCCCCTGTTTGCTAGTGCATGTAATTTTTTTCACAGTTTCAACAATATTTTAAGAAACACTGGGATCTAAAGGACTTACCTCAACGATGTTCAGTGGAGCATGAACAGGTATGTTCGAGAGAAAGGGCTCGTTGTTGTCCAATTCGGGATCGTTGATGTCCTGTTAGGCTCGGCTCGACTAGACTGGTCGGCAGCCGGCTTTCAGAAGCTGCTTGGCTCGACTCGGTTGAGTTGAGCGGTTTGAGTTTGAGAGCACTATTTTGTGCTTCTTTTCCCTGTATTTCTATCTCAAACCAATTATGTGTTTCCTTTACTGTATTCTCATACTGAAAAACGCAATTGGGTATGTCTTACTAGAAAAAAAATATCATTCTCCACAAACGTAACATCTATAGTAACATAAAAGCGGCGACTGGAGGGATGGTAACATCGGTAACCCTTTTGTTGAGATACAAAAACCACAAAGACACAACGAATGACACATGGATCTAACTTGGTCCGGTGAGATTTACTGAGATAGACATACGCCACACAATTAAAAATGGGCGGAGTGAGATTAAGATAGGAACATGAGCAGCCAATGTCTAGAGTAGTGTTTTAAAACCCAAAACACGTGAAGACATACGATTAAAAAGGTAGATAGCATAATGAATAATTGCAGTCCAAAGGGTTTAGGGAACATACGCCCCACCCTAATAAGGAGAGCTGGGGCAATCTCAAGAATATGATGATTTTTGCATTTAGCCACACCATTATGTTCAAGAGTCTAGGGACACATAGATTCATGGAGAATGCCTTTTTCAGTGAGAAGTCTGGGAGTGTACGGTTAACAAATTCCTCTCCATTATCTGAATGAACCACTTTAATCGAATAAAAATATTGAGTTTGAATCATTTAGTAAAATTTTTTGAATAAAGAACCAACTTCACTTTTATGCTTCATAACATAAAGGCAAGTTAACTGAGTACAATCATCAATGAAGATCACAAACTACTGAATATAAAATATACTAGTAATTGAAGATGGACCCCAAACAATTGATTGGATTAAATCAAAAGGAGATGTGTTTTTATTCAAACTAGGACATGTGTTTTGCAAGAATACAAGTCTCACACTGAAAATCAGAATTTTTTTACTCCACTAAATAGAGATGGAATCAAAGATTGCAAATAACCAAAGGAAACATGATCCAACTGCTGATGCCATAACCAAATCTTCTTATGCTTCTCCCTGACAACGCCCCGAACCTGATGAACACGACCCGGGGCAATGTCATCCATATAGTAAAGCCTCATTTTCTTAGTACCACACCCAATGATCCCCCTGGCTGAACATCCTAAAGCAAACAAAAGAAAGAGAACATAAGCACGCAACAATCTAATTGCTCGGTAACTTGCCCAACAGATAATAAATTATGGGACAAAGTAGGAACAAGCAAAGTTTTATGTAAATAGAGGGTAGGAGTAAGAGTGATGAAACCAACCCCAGTGACTAAGTTAGATTCTCTGTTGACAGCAACCACACTTGTTTTGGTACGAGCAGTCATATAATGAAAAAAGGATTTATCATAGGTCATATGATTAGTAACACCTGAATCGATAATCCAACATGCATCTCGTTGATCAAAAAGCACTGAAGCTTTTTCCTAGTTACCTTAGCAGTCAGCAGGCTCTAGAATGGATAACTGAGAAAAATAGTAAGAGAATCATCAACTGAAGAAGCTGTCGTGGGCAAGGTTGAGACACCTGCGGTAGCACCAGCGATCGGCCAGACGAAGACTAGCCCGACGGCGACGACAGTAGCTACACCGCTCCCACCATTCTTTTTCTTCTCATGTGCCGCCTTTCGTTGCTTCTAGCGTTCAAGGAACCACTTCGGAAACTCATTCATGTGAAAACACCTGGCCTTTGTATGACAGTTCCCATTATAGTAAGTGCAATGCATTTTTTTTTATTCCTCAAGGGTTGGACGGGGAAAAGAAAAACTAGCAGTAGGGGCTTTGGAAACCATTACAGCAGAGGATTCAGTCTTTCCATCCTTCTTAAGCATCGTTTCCCAGTATTGGGCCTCTTTTTGAACCAAAGCAAACAACTCCTCCAATTTTGGCAGTGGACTCAACCTCAACAAATCTCCTCTAATTTTATCAAACTCATCATCTAGACCCGCAAGAAAATTATAAATACGATATTTATGTATCTTAGCCTGTCGAATATCACATCATCAGGGCACTTGATGTTGATTGGACGACGACGATCTCGTTTCAACCAAACGGTCTTGAGCTCAGCAAAGTAGGATGTAATATCGCGGCCTCCTTGAGTATTATGAGTTGCTTCACACCGCAATTCATAAATCTGCGATCATCATACGTGTCATAATACATCTAGGCTGCACTCTCCTAGACATCTTTAGCTATTGGTCGATCTAAGAAAAATTCTACCAAATCAGGTTCCATGGTTTTTATTAACCATCCTTTAACAATGGAGTACTCAATACCCCACGAATCAAAGCTCAGACCGTCTTCCTCTACTTGAGCCATCTTCCATGTCAAATAACCTCTTTTTCCTTGGCCTAACACATGAAGCAACATCATCTTCGACTAAGTGCTATAATTCTTTCCATTAAACCTTATGATGAATGGGGCAGCGGAAGTATCATTGCAAACTATAACAATTGGTTGTGCCATGTGAAGAGTTTTGCGGGTTTTTGAAACACTGGATTTTGCGGCAGTAGTGGGGGTGTCTAGGGTATCTTCGAAAACCATGGAGAGAGAACAAGTTTGGAGGGTAGGTTGCACCGGCTAGGATCGGTGGGTTTGTGTTTTTAGGGTCTTTTGTTGCACTTGGTTTGTGACGACAAGGATGTTGTCGCAGTTTTGCAGCTGTTTTTTATTATTATTTATTTTTTTGTGTTTGGTTGTCATCCAAGGTAGAGGGTGCCAATGGCTAGGGTTTTTGTATTTTTGTTTGAGAGACCAGGGTTAGCCGGCTTTGATACCAACTAAACATAGAAGGATTGAATAATTGTGAATGATTTTATATTTCTCCAAGAGGATTATATATATATATATATATATATATATATATATAAGTACTAGTTGACTTTTCCTACAAGGAAAAGTAATTAGCTAATTACAAGGAATCCTAACTAGGTTAACTATTCTAATTATGTGTAATTCATTAGGTAACTATTCTAATTAGGTAACATGAATTACACCGGGAAATCAGGAATCACGGAATCCCTGAATTATGATTCACGCCAACACTTACCTGCAAGGCATTCCATATGAGATTCGTGTTGGCAGCACCATTTTGGGTTAGAGAGACACAGCTGCTCTTGTACCGATCACACCAAGAAAAAGATAGTACTTTGGTTACTCTGGATGCTACACAGCAGAGTGATCATGAACAAAAGTTTTATTTTCTCTTTTTCTCCGTCTGTTCTTGAGAGTGTGAGCTTCGGTGTATTTGGTGTTTTGAAATTTTGAGTGATTAACCATACTTAGTCATTTCTAAGTTGAACGTAAAGCCGAACAAGTATAAATCTATGTGTTCTTGTTGGTTTGCTTGGTTTGTTTCTTTATCTCTTACTTGTCTTTGTTTGTTTCCATTCACACTTGCACATTTGGTTGAGCTTTAGCACAAGAAATCAGAACAGAAAAGTGTTAACATTGGACCCCTTAAGCATAAAGCTTTCCGTTCTTCCCAAGCCCTCATAATCATCAATTAATTGGGTTTAAAAGGTTACATCGCAGGTGATGTGTACATGTATGCCACCAGATGTGGCATTTGAAATTGCCCAAAGTTCATTCAGACTCAACGTTTCGAAGATGGAAAATTATAGGATTTATAGCTCCGATGAACAACCATTGCATGACAGTGAAGCACTTAAATCTCTAAATCTAGCACACGGTCGAAAAAACATGTACGGTTTGCAGAAACAAAGAATTCAATATTTGTTCCAAATATATTTTCACATTTTTTTTATAAGCAGTATCAAATACATTTCCCAGAAAGAATTGCACAAATACAACTATACATAAAAAGAAAAATTGGGTCATGTATTTGTGTTACGTTATATCAGTTGCCACCTTCAATCCCCTCTTTGAAAAATCATCTACTTTTGCCTCTCCAACTTGAACTTTTGTGTTTCTCCTCTGGAGCTCCAAGAGCCATACAATTGCGGAAGGGCAGCTTCTTTCCTAACAGCCTCCTAATTATACTGCATTGGCTTGTTTCCATTCTCCATCTCTAAGGTCTCTCTGGCTATGCCTCACCTCACAGTTTCTTGAGCTGTTGCCGGGCCTCAGACAAAGCCCGGCTTACCTCCTCGTCCCCGGGTGTTTCCTTAAGCAAAATCTCGTAGTCTTGTATTGAAGCTTCCCATTTTTCCAACTGCATGATACATCATCATTGAAACATACCAATTATCACAAATAACATAATCAAAGAGAAACCAAAAGCAACTTGAATTTTTCTTTTTTTGTTGTTTGAAAGATGTGTATTAATGAGCGAGCACATATGGTCACCTTGGCATTGCAATCTGCTCTTCTTAATCTAGCCTTACTGTAAGATGGGCGCACATTAAGGGCAGCTGTACAGTCCTCAATTGCTTTATCTAATTGACCAAGTTTTGACCGACAAGCACCACGGTTGCATAACAACACCGAATTGTAAGGGTCGTGCTCAAGTCCCTCCCCATAGGCAACGCATGCCTCTGAGAATCTTGCTGTCTTGAAAAGCTCATTGCCTTTTGATCTAGATACCGTAACAGCTCGAGCCTTCCTCGCCACCATGTTTGCTTCCCTGTTGTTTGAGTCAAGACGGGATGCTCGTTGAGCTGCCTCCAATGCATCATCCAATCTGTCAAGCCATTGGAAACCAATAAACCAACTATTTGAACAATATTCTTCCTTTTGAGTAGTGCATAAGCATTTGCATAATTATGCTCGTGCTTTCTGAATCACATAACTTTATTGTGTGACACTATGCACAACGATAAATATAGGTACTTTTAGAGTATAAAACACAGTACCTGCCAGCAACCATATCCACCTGAGCCCGTATTGCTAACAAGTTCGCGTTACCAATAGGACCGAAAAATTTAGAGCAGGCATCTACTTCAAAATTTGGACCCCTGGATAGTGCTTCATCTGCTTCTTGGTGCCTATTGAGCTTCAGTAAGGCCTCAGCTTGCAAAGCATATATCTTTGTAGGGTAACAAACAACATATGGACTCATATTAGTATACATAAGTGAGCTTATCTCCATATATATATATACTTTTATTGTCAAATGCAGAAATGCTTCTCAACTGTTAAATTCGATATGGACTCTTGAGGTGCATCTCATCTCCTCATAACGTTGAGAAACAAATTCGTATCCAGAGGATGTTTAATGGAGAATAAGAGAAAGGGAAATCTAATAAAGATGGGATAGGAATTTGACAATTCTATGGCTAACCTGTGGTGCTGAATCTGCACCAGCTAATATAACGCTTTCAGATGCCTTTATGAGGGTGTTCCAATCTCTTAACCTACGAGCCTCGGTGCACTTGTTCAGAAGGGCCTGAAGAGATTTTACTTTAGCAAGGTCCTCTTGATCAGCCTCTGGTCCAGAATGTTTGTAGTGATACAAAGCTTTATCTGCTTCCCCTAACCTACAAGCACACAACAAATTAACTTTTACAAAAAGATTGAAACTCCCAAATAACATTAACATGTGGAACTTTATGCAGTCTAAGTTGTACCTAAAATATAATGTTGCCAGACGATGATGAGCCCTGTGATACTGGGGCTCAATCCGAATGGCTTCCCTGCACTCGAAAACTGCCTCAAGAAGTTGACCTAGAGCGGTTAATGCAGCACTCTTGTTGCTCCTATAAGAAGCCTTATTGGGGTCAATAGAAATTGCAGCATCATATAAAGCCAAAGCCTCTGCAAACCTCCCATTCTTGTAATCTTCATTGCCCATGATCTTCAAAGTTTCGGGGTCCATTCTAGTCGACAATGCCCGGCATAAGGAAGCAGGCGGTTCTGTGACACTCTGTCTCTTCTCTTCTTTAGCAGCACTCATCTTTCCCACATTTACATTACTCGTCATTGGGATTTCTTCTCTTGCTGTCTTTGGAAGATAATCAAGAACATTATTTGAGTTTGCATTTCCACCACCTCCACCTCCACCAGGTTGTCTCAAATTACCCAAATTGCCAAAAAGCATGACATTGCTGGAGGAAGCCCTTACAAGTGTATTGCTCCCTTTTGATTTTTGATGATCAGCAATCATGCTATCAAGCTCACCAGATATACCAACTGCCTCCTTTGGCACCCTTTTTCCTTGGTTCACATAACCTTGGCTTGGGGCCATTTTGCTTGGGGCTGATGAGGAAACCATTGGACCTGCTTGTGCTGCTGCTTCTTGAGGTGGCCTACCATTTCTACCCTGAATATTTTGCTGCAGCTGTTGCTGTTGCTGTTGTTGTATAGGAGGTGCCCTGTTACTATATTGGGAAGGCTTTGTGATAGGTTTTGATGGAGGAGCATCTGATGGATTGGTTGATGAATCAAGGAAGGAAGTCTCATCAGAGCCACCACGCCGCCGTTTCGAATTTGGAGTGCTTGGTGTTTTGACAAATGTGGCATTGTTATTATTGGCCACAGGAAGAGAACCTGTAGAAGTTGTTCTTCTTGGCCAAAAACTATTTCTCCCAAAAACAGCACTCAATATGCCACAGCCTGATTTCTTCTCCGGCGACTCTCCCATTTTTTTTCTTTTATTGTTTATGTCCCCTTCAAGTCCCTGATCAAATTCTGTGCATGGTGTGATGATGTTACAGCAATTGGGATTTTCTGTGTACCATTAAGAAAACCAAGGGAAGAGCATGAGGTGCATGAAATGAAAAAGATGTATTGAGAATTGGTAGAGTACAAGAAGAAGAAAACCAAGTTGAACACACATATTAGATAGAAAAAGAAAAAAAAAAAAAAAAAATGAGAGAGGACCCAGGAGATTATTTGCATGGCCTCCTCCTCCTGGAGCTTGAGTGGCTCTGATTATTATTAATAATTAGAGACAATGCCTCCTGGATTTCTCTCTGCTCTGTGCAAGAGAGGTGAAATTGGATTGCATGATTAAAACAAGGGGCAGGGAAAGAAATGGGAATAAATGGCCGGAAAAGAAAATAATAGATTACGGGTTTATTGTTTTATAAAAAACTGTAATAGCTGGTGCTGAATCTTTTTCTCAATTTTCATATCTGGTTTCTGTTTCTGGTTCTGTTTTTCTTTTTTCTTTTTTCTTTTTTTTCTTTTTTCTTTTTGGTTTTCTCTCATTGTCTTTGCTTTTGGGTTTCTTGTGTGGAAGCAGAAGACCCGGTCTTGCGTTAAATGATGATCTCTAGAATTTTAGACTGACTCACCCCAGCCTTGTCAATCTGTCATGGCCCTTGTTTTCTTTGAGGAGGGCACGTCTTTGTTGGTTTTCAACATCCCACGTATGAAGCCAGTTGTGTTTAATAACAGTCATATATAAATACATTTTTGTTTAAAATACCCAAAAAAAAAAACAAGAAATGGAAATTGCAGAACATCTCATATTTGAACTGGGAATATACCCTATTTATAAATTAAAAAAACTAAGACCTAATTGAGTTATTGACCTAATCACCAACTGCTTCTTGAATTGATTGAGAAGTGGTTGAGTTTTGGTAGAATGGTTGTGTCTTTTCTATGTTAAATCTGCAAACTTAAAAGAAGCCGGGTCAAAACAAGGTGTTGAAAAAAAAAAGGGAAATTCCGTGACACATACTTTTGATGGTGTTCTATAATCATAAATACAAATATTAATGATGGAGGCTTGTAATTCAAGTCGTTAAAAGTATTTTTCTGAATCCTTTTAGTTGACAGTATGAGAAAGCATAAAGGGCTAAGATTGCCACTATTAAGAAGATGAAGGTAAGGATTCAGGAAGAAAATGCTGCTCAATTTTGAGTTGAAATAGGAGAATGCTGTCTTGTGATTGAAGAATTATTCTTCAAGTATGAAGCGTTTTGAAGCCTTTTGGTGTTCATGGCTCTAAGACCATCAACATTCAGAGCATGCATTGCATAGCAGAAATGGAAGAACGAGCTAAAAACTTCTTTTGCAGCAATATATACGTTCTTTCGTAAAATCTTTATTTATATATATAAAGAGACTGTATATTTAGAGGAGGATAAGAGTAATATTTAGTTAAGATAGTTTGAGTAAAGCTGGAAAACGTTGACCACAAAAATAACAATTTTAAAAATAAAAAAATAAAAAACTGGGGAACCAATTTCTTGAAGCCTCTGCTGCTCATCCTGCAATGAACTGTAGATGCATAGCACATTGCAGCAACGACTTAGGTCTAGGACTGAATTCATTTTTTTCAGAAAGAAAAAAAAAGGTCGCTATCCGGTTGTAACCCATTGCTTCTCATTCCAATGGATTCACAAATTAGGTCTTGATATCCTAACAATTTGAAAAGCAATACATGTTCTTGTCTATAACCAATGAAGTTAAGCTGAATTGAATTTGAGGTAGCCTTTAAAACAAATATGACATTGCTACTCAACTTTTCTATATTCTTTTCGGATGACTATTCCGAATCAAGAAACTTAACACATTCTACAAAAGCTCTAAACTACTGCTTAGTCAAGAGCGACATTTGAATTCTGTCGTATGTATGCCTGAGAGAGAGAGAGAGAGAGAGAGAGAGAGAGAGAGAGAGAGAGAGAGAGAGAGAGAGAGACGGGGGGAAGTGGAATGAAAAATCTCCATTACGCTTCACAAAACTTTCTAGCTCTTGTCAGTTGAGGTTCTTTTCACTTCTTTTACGATTGCTTCTGACAGTTCATCTGCATTGTACTCTACACCAAAGCATCTCACAACTTCCATGTTTGGGTTCATCAAATACCTGGTCGTTTCAATGCACATTAAAGCCACTTTGAGCTCATATACCACAAAGCTGAAAAGGGAAAGATTTTAGCAAGTGGCTCACATGTTATGGGAACACTCAACAAGATAGTCATCACCCTCTTCTTCAACCTTCTTAAAATAAGCACGGTATTCCTGAGCCATCTGCCTTATAGCTGATACAGGTCCTGTTAACCCTACAATCCTTGATTCAAACTCTGTCCACGAAAATGTTGGGTCAGGTGATAGGGGAAGCCAAAACGAGATATTAGCAAAACCATCTGTATTTAAATAATTAGCATAAAGAGTACAAATATTCCACTGTAAAAGAATTCAGACCTTTAAGGTAGGCACGGAGATGAGAAGGGGTATCACGTTGTGGATCAAGTGTAACAAATACTGGTAGAATCTTAAGGTTATGTCTCGATTCTTGTACCCGAGAAAAAAAAAAAAAGGTAGCACGTCAGTGGTCCAACAACAAAATAGTATTCAAATATAAAATGTTAATAAAGTGTCAACCTAATATGTTTATGGCCTTGGCCATCATCTGGAGTTGTTCTGGTCCAACATCAGGAGAAGAAGTATATCCAAAATAGAGAAGAACCCAGTTTCCTAAAAGATTTCGTTCAGTGACAGTGTGGTTCTCCGTGTCCACTAAAGTGAAGGGACCACCAATTATAGGGCCCCTGACATTGTTTACGCATGGGCAGTTACCCTGACCTGCTAAGATGGAGAAAAAGTAAGAGAAGGATGTTGCTTGGTCTTAGAAAACAAAGTCATTTCTCCATCATTCAATCAGGAAATGTACTTGCAGATTCATAGTACATTCTAAATACCTAAGTTAGTAGTTCAATTAATATGGGAGAACAGAGTTTCGATGGAAGACTAAGCTCGTTATGAATTTCCCTGCAGATTTTAGACAAAAATTGAAGTTTAAACCAATGGGTATATATTGAACAGCTAGCATGCACATTGTCCTACGATGAAAAGATATTATAATTGTCTCCATTCCAACTGATTTTGAATAGACTATAGCCCAAGCACAACAATAAGTTCATCATACTAATTGATTATCCTGCTCAATTCATCATACAAAAGCTAGAAAAGGAACAAAAGATGCAGTCCTGCATTAAGAACAATTTGACTCCGCAAAGTAAATCCAAATTGAGGCGAACATAGCATTTCTGCCAGCAATATTCTTTTACATTATAAAGCTAAAAATCATATTAAACATTTTCATTATTCTACAAACTAACATTAATGAAGTACCCCAATAAGAAAATGTAATGAAAACTAACCCAGTAACACTTTGCATAAATAGTCCAATTGCATCCTTTTAAACAAATAATTGGACAGCCAATATCCTAGAGGTTTCAGACTGGAGCCACTAAAATCATCATAAGACCTCTTGTCTCGCACATAAGGCCAACATCAAATGAATCTCTTAACAATTCTAACATTTTTTACAGTCAGAAGCAAAGATTCTTAAATCACTAAAATGCACTATCTTTGATAGCTAAAATTAGCTATTTAGTTTGAATGTTGTGTTATCCAAACAAAAAATAAATAAAAAAATCCACTGAATGCAACAAAATATGAAGGAAGAACAAGAAGACCAAATTAATATGAAAAAGGCCACATAAATTAGTGAAAGTATCCACAACCATTATATCCTAGAGGTTTCAGACTCGAGCCACTTAATTCATCATTAGACCTCTTGCCTTTCACACATCAAGCCTAACATCAAATGAATTTATTAACAACTCTAAATGTTTCTTTACAGTCAGAAGTAAATATTCTAAAGTCGCTGAAATGAGCTATCTTTGCTATATTAAATTAGCAATTTAGTTTGAATGCTAACAAAATACAGAGGAAGTACAAGAAGACCAAACTAATATGAGAAAGGCCACATAAATGGGTCAAAGTATCCACAAGCATCATTTTCCAGATACCAACTTCAAATCAAAACCAGTTCCCTAGCAGTACTAAAGGTTGAAATAGTACCTTTTAAAGTTACTCTCCTCTCATCATTATAATGAATGAAAGTTGCCAACCCAGAAAAGAATAGTACACCAGCAGCCGGCTGCAGAAAAAAGTATTTGATTAACAAATGAAGGGACCTGAATCCAGGAAAGCATGAAACAAATGCTTATTGTTTATTATATCCATAAATGTGCACCTTGAAAGCAAGAAGATGTAGATAATATAACTGATAAGAGAACAAAAAGGGGAAGGCTGCATACAATAACATAGGAAGCCCTAGAGCGAGAAGCTGGTGGTGTTTCTACTGTCATCGGGGATCTAATACCTGTCTTCCCATTAGCACTTTTCGATGAATTTGCATAACTACGAGAATGAATTCTCTTAGGGAGGCCAGACCTATATCAGGCACAAATGATTCAGTAGAAACTCAGATGCTAAAGGAAACATGAAACAGAACTTTGAGCAGTATCCCCCAATTGGGCTTAGAATATGTCTTATGCTTGCCAAAAGGGTGAATGAACATTTAACACCGTTTCACATATAAGCAAGAAAAACCCCATTTAGGATTTTCTTAATCCCTTAAATGCAAACCCCCAAATAAACTTCAAACGAAACAACCCGAAACACCCACTTCAAATTAATGTTCAGAAATCCTATGCAAACTCCTGCTGGTAAAAATCCTGAGTACCAAAACATAGCCAAATGTCACATAGTTGACATTACCATTTGCTACCACAAGATTTTTTTTTTTCAAAATGAGAAATTTGGATTGTGGTAATCCATCACACTTCCATTGGACACTAATTCAGTGAAAACTGCTCTACCACCAAATATAGAATTTGCCCTTGCAAAATCAACTTGCAAGAAAACGGTGCTAAGAGCACATACACTATTTCAAAAGATAATTTATCTTTTCAACAAGATACATTTGGGGAATAATAAAGACATTTAACAAATATACAAATATGTATAAAGTATGCACACAAACATCAATATGAACTCAAAGAACATGTAATATAATCTGAATAGCATAAACCCAAAACTTTGAAACGAGTAATTCCAAAATAAAGATTGAATTTCAGCGATCCAGCATAATTGCACGTCCCCTGAGTTAAAACACTAGAAAAGAAACCAAAATTCTCAAAAAGGGCTTCAGAGTGTGTACCTCCGAAGTAGATTGAAAGCCTCTATTGAGCGTTGTTTGGCCGAAAAGAAAAGAAAACGAGAAAAGGGCATGGTTTCTAGGAAAATTTCTTGGGTGAGTTTTCTGTGAATAGCTGTTTTGAGCAAAACCCATTGGGTTTTGTATGACTAGCTCAAGCTAGCAATGCACGCGCTCGTTTTCCCTCCGTATTCTGTAAATTGCCTTCTATGGAAATATTTATTTTTTATTTATTTTTATTTTTCCTTTTTGGGTTAGCAAAAGCTAGGAAAGCCCATAAGCCCATTCCGAAGCGATCCATCCTCAAATTTTGTCTGCTCCGTTGACTCAGGAAGTCTTGCAGTGCACTCCAAGATCGACGACCAACACCACGTTTCTCTTTCACTTCTCAATTGTGGGTGCATTTCAAACTAGTACTCGATTTTATGGGGCCTTATAGACCCATACTAAAACTCACGAAAAATCCCATCCGTTACTTAAAGTTTGTTAAAATGCTAACATAGACGAATATGAGTCACATTTATTCTCTTATACGCAAGGAATTTATAGCTCAAGTGATTAATAGCATTTATCCACGCACACATCCTAAATTCAATTCCCTTCTTCATCAATATCGCTTATATAAAAAAATAAAATACAAACTAAAATATACAAAAGAAAATTTGTAATCCGAGCTTGTAGAAGTTATCGCTTGTATTAAAAAGACAAGATTAGGATGTTGAGTAGTTGAAAAATCTGTCCACTATATTGCACATATGTAGTACTTTTGATTCCTAAATATTCGTATTCAAAAATCGCCAGTACCTTTTTTCAAATTAATACTTCTTGTGTGAAGCACTTCCATTTTTTTTTATATGGTTCTTTGTTGGAAACAAACTACATGGTCCTCTCAGTTATAGAGTTATACATTTATTGGACTTGCATCTCCATATTCTCCAATGTCTATAAGCCCAGGATATACAAGTTTAAAAGCTCTCAACCAATTGATCTGCCTGACACAACATATCCTTGGTCCTCAACCCTTTCGACTGGTTGAGACGAGGTGCCTGGTCTTCATTTTGTTAATGGCATCCGCAGGATTGAGGCTTTTGGGGCAAGTGGCTGTGCAATTCTTTATAGTCCTGCATCTATATAACCTCGTGTGGTCATCTGTCAATGCCTGCAATCGTGGCTCTGTGAACTCATCCCGGCTGCCAAAGCACAACCCAATTGATCACAACACATACATAATCTACGACAATAATACTCGAGCACCAAAATTTCATTCCCAGTTTTTTACATGTTCAAAATAAATGAGATTCATAGTGGGAGTTAGGAATATACAACTAAAATATTTCCAGCTCTGTTAGGATTCAAAATTTGAAATTTGTTTTGGTGTCTCTAGTATTACTCAAATTTTTTATTGAATCACTCAAAACAAAGTGATTTGATAACTTATTGGTAAGGTTACCTATCGGCAATCCATCGATAAGCATGGAGCAAAGCCGCTGGTCCAAGGAACTCCTCTGGATTCCACCAGTAGGAAGGGCAGGAGGTAGTACAACAAGCACAAAGTATACACTCATAAAGCCCATCAAGCTTTTTCCTGTCTGAGGGTGATTGCCTGTACTCTCGGCCATCCTTTGGTGGCTTCGTCGTCTTCAGCCATGGCTCAATCAACCTAGCCAATGTAATATCAAGAAATGAAACTCTCATGAAGATGTGTTGTTCATAATAAAAAGTGATAAGTTTAACTCTCATTAACTAAATTCTAAAGAAGTAACATTTCTTAATATTTAAGAATCATAAAGCTTATCTTGCGCATTTAAATGGAAGCATAACTTGCCCTAAAACAAATGAAAGCGCTCTTTTGTGAATTCTAACTTGAGATTATTTCTAATATTAAGAAGAGAAATACCATTAGGCCGACCAAAAAGAGCTAGCAAGATGAAAACAAAATATTTTAGAAAAATATACTGCAAAACATTGGGCTGAAAACTTTAATCTATAACATAACAATACATAAATAATTAGGTCTGACCCCTAAATAGAATTAGAAATGCTCATCTTACTTGTACTGCTGGTAGAAATTGGTGAGGTCAACAACCAGATCTTTGATCACAAACATGTGAGGCAGAGGGGTTATCGTAGTGGGTTTGGAAGTGTCTGCATCTATGGGCCTGAGGCAGGCCACCGTATTTGTCCCATCAATGTTCATGGAGCATGACCCACATATCCCTTCCCTGCAAGACCTCCTATAACTCAGGCTTGAATCATCCTCTGCTTTTATCTTCTGCAATGCATCCAAAACCTAAAATTGCTAGAGTTTAGAGTTAGATATTATATGGTTGGTTTGGTTCAACGGAAATTGGCCTGGTTGGAAGTTGGACCAGCCTAAATGACCAAATTTTATCAAAAGATTCAATCTAAAATTGAAAATTCAACTCAAGTACTTACAAATGGCTCATTTGGCATTTTCTTTGTACACACAATTTTTCTTTATACAAGTGATATTGGAGAAGGGGGAATCAAATCTAGGACCTCGAACGCATAAGTAAATGCTTTTGAGCTACAAGCCCCTTACTACCACTTTATAAGTTTATGAAACCATTTGCATGCACCGAAAAAGTGAATATAAAAAGACATATCAAACTAAAAATTCTAAGTTCATAGAAGCATGTCCAAGTTGAAGCCCAAAATATCCCTTAAACATTCTACCAAGGAAAAATCAATAGAAAAATTATAATAATAAAAGTAGAGGATAAATTTACCATAGGACCACAGTTGGAGAGGTCCACAAAGTAAGAGTGAAGGTAGGGCCTGTTGTTGGGATGGTCAGGGTTCCATCTATAGATCTTGAACTCCTTCAGCACTTGGTCTTTCTTTCTGACGGTGTCATGGGTCTCAAGAGCTACTTCTGCATGCTGCTGGGCAACAGGGTGGCCTTCTAACACAGGAAAGTTCTCCTTCTTGGGTCAGCAGCTCTGCCTACAATTCGAGCTACCCTGTTGAAGCCATGGCGGATCCAGCTCCTTGACATCTTTATCTATTTCTCATAGGAAACTGCTGCAGATTTTGCTTGCACATTTGAGGCCTTTGCATATATCACAGGTGTCAGAACATACAATTATCTGTAGCCATGCAAGCGGAACACATGTCCATAAATAAACCTGTCACAAGTTTCAATTGGGCTTGGACTTGGGCTTGAATTGGTCTTATGCTTAAAGTTTGGACTAAATTATAGAAGTACGTAAACTGAACAAGTAATTTACCAAGTGCTCTCCAATATTTTTAGAAAAAATTCAATCGGTTGTTTAGTCTTCTGTCACGTGAATATGTAAAATGATCGAACAATAAAGTTAAAGAAGAATAAGGGCGTATTTCATAATATTTTTTCTATTTTAAAAAAATTTGAACTAGAACCTATCTTCACTCTATTGTACATGTCTTTTTGGGGGACAATGCTTGGCTCAGGATGATATTCCTCCTCAACCATGACGTGGGCTCCTTAAAAAATTAATACATATTTTATTTTTTTCCTCTTCCCTCAGCGTTTTTAACCCAACCTTTTGGCTGGTTTTAATTGCAGCCTCCCCAACCCGACACTACAAAGCCACCACCACCCCTGTTTCGAATCCACCCCATCACCAACCTCGCCGCTGAACCGATAAGGACGAGCAAGCAACCCACCGACTTTCTGTTTTCTTCTCTCTCTCTCCATCACTTATCTCTCCCTTTCTCTCTCTTCACACCGGAAACAACAGAGATCGGCGACTTTCTATGCTCCATAGTCTATCTTTTCATATCTAAGGTGAGCGAAGGCGGGGGGATTCAAGGTTTCAATGACTAATCTTCATTTCTCTCTCTCTCTCTCTCTCTCTCTCTCTCTCTCTCTCACTTCGTCGGAATATGGTATTCAAATTAGCCAATTAAACTTCTGCTCTGGCTGCAAATTCAAAAACCAAAAATTGAAAGCACATAATGATTTCAATCCAGGGTCTTGGGCTCCAAAATTGGCCAGAGGTTTACATGGGAGGCTTGAGTAAAACCAGCCAAATGCTTTGTTAAAAGTGTTGAAAGAAAAGGGAAAAGAAAAGAAGAAGAAAGGAAACACGTGTTGTTTTTTAAGGAGCCCACGTCATTGTTGAGGAGGAATGGCTCTTGATATGTCAGGAGCAACCTTATGTAAATTGCCTTCTATGGAAATATTAATTTTTTCTATTTTTCTATTTTTCCTTTTTGGGTTAGCACAAGCTAGGAAAGCCCATAAACCCATTCTGAAGCAATCCATCCTCAAATTTTGTCTGCTCCGTTGAATCAGCAAGTCTTGCAATGCACTCCAAGATCGACCACCAACACCACGTTTCTCTTCTTTTATTTTTGGGATAAATACCACGATGTGTCCCCACACCCGAAGGGTGAGATTAGTCCCCGCTCTGGGTTCGGCTTGCCCCTGACCATAAAGTACTTTATGAGTTTCAAACCTCTGCCATTGAGGCATCAGTTAACTCGCCAACTGTAAGTGTCAGTTTGCCAACCGCACCACACCTTGTAGTTACACCATATTTCTCTTTCAATTCTCAATTGTGGGTGCATTTCATACTAGTACTCAATTTTATAGGGCCTTATACTAGTACTTGATTTTTAAGGAGCCCACGTCATTGTTGAGGAGAAATGGCTCCCGATATGTCAAGAGCCAAGCATTGTCCTTATGTAAATTGCCTTCTATGGAAATATTAATTTTTTCTTTTTTTCTTTTTTTCCTTTTTGGGTCAGCACAAGCTAGGAAAGCCCATAAACCCCTTCTGAAGCAATCCATCCTCAAATTTTGTCCGCTTCATTGAATAAGCAAGTCTTGCAATGCACTCCAAGATCGACCAGCAACACCACGTTTCTCTTCTTTTTTTCTTTTTTTTTGGGGTAAATACCACGAGGTGTCCCAACACCTGAAGGGTGGGATTAATCTCCGCTCTGGATTTGGCTTGCCCCTAGCCATAAAGTACTTTCAATGGGTTTTGAGGCACCAGGTAACTCGCTAGCTGTAAGTGGTAGTTTGCCAACCGCACCACACCTTGTGGTTACACTATATTTCTCTTTCAATTCTCAATTGCGGGTGCATTGCATACTAGTACTTGATTTTATAGGGCCTTATACTAAAACTCAAGAAAAATCCCATCCGTTACCTAAAGTTTGTTAAACTGCCAACATAGACGAATATGAGTCACATTTATTCTCTTGTACGCAAGGGACTTGTAGCTCTAATGATTAAGAGCATTTATCCATGCACACGATGTCTTGAGTTTAATTCCGGTCTTTATGAATATCACTTGTATAATAAAATAAATAAAAACTAAACGGATAAAAAAAATTTGTAATCCTTAAAAACATTTTTACAAAGGGCCTATAACTCAATTAGTTAAAAACAGTCACTCGTGTCCCGAAATCATGTGTTTGAATTTCCTCTCTCTTAATATTGCCTGTATTAAAAAAAATCTTAGAAAGTCTCGGGATTACTGCCATCTTCTGAACTTTAACATTAGGAAGCCCTATGACTGCTGCTAAATGAACGACAGGATTAGGATGTGGAGTTGTTGAAAAATCTGTCCACTATATTGCACCTATGTCGTACTTTTGATTCCTAAATATTCATATTAAAAAATCTCTTCAGTACCTTTTTTTCAAATTAATACTTCTTGTGGCAAGCACTTCCTTATATATATGATTCTTTGTTGGAAACAAACTACATGGTCTTTTAGAGTTATACATTTATTGGACTTACTTGCATCTCTATATTCTCTAATGTCTACAAGCCCAGGATATACAAGTTTACAAGCTCTCAACCAATTGGTCTGCCTGACACAACATATCCTTGGTCCTCAACCCTTTCGACTGGTTGAGACAAGAGGTGCCTGGTCTTCATTTTGCTAATGGCATCAGCAGGATTGAGGCTTTTGGGGCAATTGGCTGTGCAATTCTTTATGGTCCTGCATCTATATAACCTCATGTTGTCTTCTGTCAATGCCTGCAATCGTTGCTCTGTGAACTCGTCCCGACTACCAAAGCAGAACCAAATTGATCACATACATAATCTACGACAATACTACTCAAGCACCAAAATTTCATTCCCAATTTTTTACTTGTTCAAAATAAATGAGATTCATAGTGGGAGTTAGAAATATACAACTAAAATATTTCCGGCTCTGTTAGGATTCAAAATTTGAAATTTGTTTTGGTGTCTCTAGTATTACTCAAATTTTTGATTGAATCACTCAAAACAAAGTAATTTGATAACTTATTCGTAAGGTTACCTATCCGCAATCCATCGATAAGCATGGAGCAAAGCCGCTGGTCCAGGGTACTCCTCTGGATTCCACCAGTAGGCAGGGCAGGAAGCAGTACAACAAGCACAAACTATACACTCATAAAGGCCATCAAGCTTTTTCCTGTCTGAGGGTGATTGCCTGTACTCTCGGCCATCCTTTGGTGGCTTCTTCGTCTTCAGCCATGGCTCAATCAACCTAGTTACCTAGCCAAGGTAATAACAAGAAATGAAACTCTCATGAGAATGCGTTGTACTAGTTCATAATAAAAAGTGATAAGTTTAACTCTCGTTAACTAAATTCTAAAGAATTAATACCCTTTAAGAATCATAAAGCTTATCTTGCGCATTTAAATGGATGCATAACTTACCTTAAAACAAACGAAAGCGCTCTTTTGTGAATTCAAACTTGAGATTAGTTCTAATATTAAGAAGAGAAATACCACTAGACCGACTAGAAAGAGCTAGCAAGATGAAAACAAAATATTTTAGAAAAATATACTCCAAAACATTGGGCTGGAAACTTTAATAATTAGGTCTGAACCCTAAATAGAATTAGAAATGCTCATCTTACTTGTACTGCTGGTAGAAATTGGTGAGGTCAACAACCAGATCTTTGATCACAAACATGTGAGGCAGAGGGGTTATTGTAGTGGGTTTGGAAGTGTCTGCATCTATGGGCCTGAGGCAGGCCACAGTATTCGTCCCATCAATGTTCATGGAGCATGACCCACATATCCCTTCCCTGCAAGACCTCCTATAACTCAAGCTTGAATCATCCTCTGCTTTTATCTTCTGCAATGCATCCAAAACCTAAAATTGCTAGAATTTAGAGTTAGATATTATATGGTTGGTTTGGTTCAACGAAAATTGGCCTGCTTGGAAGTTGGACCACCCTAAATGACCAAACTTTATCAAAATATTAAACCTAAAATTGAAAATGCAACTCAAGTACTTACAAAGAACCCATCTGGTATTTTCTTTGTACACACAATATTTCTTTATATAAGCGATATTGGGGAAGGGGAATCAAACCTAGTAACTCGGATGCAAAAGTAAATGCTCTTGAGCAACAAGTGCCTTACTCCCCCTTTCTAAGTTTATGAAACCATTTGCATGCACCAAAAAAGTGAATATAAAAAGACATATCAAACTAAACATTCTATCTAGGAAAAATCAGTTGCAAAAGAGCAATAATAAAAGTAGAGAAGATAAATTTACCATAGGACCGCAGTTAGAGAGGTCCACAAAGTAAGAGTGAAGGTAGGGCTTGTTGTTGGGATGGTCAGGGCTCCATCTATAGATCTTGAACTCCTTCAGCACTTGGTCTTTCTTTCTGACTGTGTCATGGGTCTCAACAGCTACTTCTGCATGCTGCTGGGCAACGGGGTGGCCTTCTAACACAGGAAAGTTCTCCTTCTTTGGGTCAGCAGCTCTGCCTACAATTCGAGCTACCCTGTTGAAGCCATGGCGGATCCAGCTCTTTGACATCTTTATCTATTTCTCATAGGAAACTGCTGTGGATTTTGCTTGCACATTTGAGGCCTTTGCATATATCACAGGTGTCAGAACATACAATTATCTGTAGCCATGCAAGTGAACACATGTCCATAAAAAACCCTGTCACAAGTTTCAATTGGGCTTGGACTTGGGCTTGAATTGGTCTTGTGCTGAAGTTTGGACTGAATTAGAAGTCCAGAAACTGAACAAGTGATTTACCAAATGCTCTCCAATCTTTTTAGAAAAAATTCTATCATGTGAATGTGTAAAATGATCGAAAAATCAAGTCAAAGAATAAGAGCTTGTTTGATAACAATTTTATTTTCAATTTTCATTATTTTCTGAACTGAAATAGGTATCAAACGAACCCTAGTATGTTTAATTTGACAATTAATGATCAAATTTTTTCTCAATTGTTCCAGATTGAGACTCTGCACATGCATGTTTTTATGTTTTGAATTTTCAATGTCTGAAAAATGTATGGCTCTCTAGGTGTGATGTGTACAGTTTGTCAAAGCTCTGGTAGATGGTCAGAGCCTCGGGTCATGTGTGGGAGATCCTCAGGACAAGTCAACCGTCAAACTCATCCCACTAGTTTAATAAATAGAGTCATATGTCCCACTAAACATCTTCTTCTCTGCAAATATTTAGGACCACCCTGTTGAATTTTATAAGGGTTTGACCCAAACCAGCAGGAGAGACTCTGTTTTCATTTTGAATTAAACTTCCCAATGAGCTCAGGCAACAATTTTGTTAAGCATGATAATAAAACTTGTTTAGAGAGAGAGAGAGAGAGAGAGAGTCTTAATTGGGTATGTGAGTTTTTGGGGAGCAAAATTGTCCAGAAGCATTTTGTCGGGTGGGCTTGGAACTTTGTTGGGTCCAAATAGAAAAACTCTGTAAAGTCAATAATAAAATGTGGTGATTGTATTACTACTGACCAAATTTTCTTTATAAAATATCATACTTTCTTGTATTCTCTTCTTTCTTTTCAGTTCCTTTTTTTTTCCCTGTTAGAAATTATATACAACTAAGTGAACTTTCTATTCGTATATCTTTTGGATGTCCGGCAGGCAGGCATACAATAACACCAGAGAGGAAACCACCACCAGAAATTTTTTTTTTTTTTTTTTTTTTAAAAAAAAGGCAAAAAGATAAGACAAAAGAAAATATTCTACTTAGTGGTGTTGAAGAAATTTTGATTTGGAGAATATTTTTGGGGCAGTGTTAATTTTATTTGCTTCACTTTATTATAAATACAAGTTTAGTATATGTGGGTTAGGTTAGTTGGTCAAGATAGTGTGTTTGTCTTCTTGTACTCGAGTTTGAACCCCCTCATCGTACATTAAAATAATTTGAACTAATATCGTCATTGTCAACAACAAAAAATCATGTTATACTCACCGACTTATTCGTCACAATCAATCACGAAGACAATAATGTCTTTTAGATTATACATGCAGTAAAACATAGAACAAAATAAAATAAAAAAAATTGGATGGTAAAATTATACATGGTTCACGAAGAAAAACTTATGTGAGAGTGTTTTCTTCATATGATAAATACATTCTAAGTAGGAAAATAACCCAGTTAAAAGATTACATGAATTAAAGATTTATCATCAAATTTGAACACATGTCATCTTTCAACTAAATTATTCATCCACTCAATAATGGACAGTTGTAAATCATGGCTGACCACAAGTATACCCTAATCATGTATATATGTAGTCTTCTATATGCACTATTTCCAATCCTCTAATTTATCTCCTCATTTTTCTCTCTCTTAATTTTACAACATTTTATCAACACGAGTGTTTCTCCATGGATAGTATTTTTCAAATCGTACTAGCTAATATGTTTGGATACTCTCACATAATAACTAATACGATATGATATAACATAGTTATATTTAAAGACTACTGAATTTTACTTTGCCCTCTGAATTTTTAATTTAATTTTTGAGCCCCATAAATTTTTAATTAATGCCCAATGTCTCACCAACTATCAATTATACCACAATTTTCCGTTGGTTTCCATCACGCCCAACGCGCACGACTAACTTTTAAAGCCATATTGAAAGTTGAGATTCCATTGCTAAATTTCTCCCTACATTTAAATACTTGAAGAAAAAGAAAATAATACATTCAAATACGGCACGTTATGGGACCTAGGTAGAATTCTTAATATGCCTTTATCAAGTGCGTACAGAAACTTTTGGAAGCCGGAAGATCCCATCAAATCCAACGGTCCAGATCAATCACAAGGTTTGGATGCATTTGCGTCTCCTTGTGTGAGGTACAGGTTCATTGAAAATGATGGAGGTCCCATCAAACCCAAAATTTTGATCTTACTTAATCTTTGTAGTTGGCGGAGATAGCGCCCCACTTACAGTTAAAAACAAAAGCAGTTTCACAGGTTCAAGTAACTTAAATAAGACATAATTAGGTAATTGATTTGAGGTTAATAAACGCCACGTGGATCCACATGATGAGCTCATGAAAGAGCAAAATGACATGCACATTACAGTCTGCAACTGTCCAAATTTTAGGGTTAGGGTTTGTTCTGTAGGGTTTTGTTTGCCAAAAGTAAGTAATAATATTAATAATTTATGATGGAAAAAATGTAAATATTGAAAATATAAAGTATAATGTGACAAATTTAGACTTAGTTAAGTTGGCTAAAACGGATGTGCTCTCCACTATGCATCCGAGTTCGAATCCTCCTCTTCACAGTTTAGATTCGTTGAAAGTAGATTATCGCTTGTATATAAAATAAAATAGAAATACAACGTAAAGAACGATAATGACGTTTATGCATCTAAAACCCAAATTGTGTTTATTTAATGTGAAAAAGGATATGATAAATGTGGGATTTAAAATTTGTTAGTTTTTTTTAGTTTTGATGGTTGCAGCGAACCTAGATGTTGTTGAACTGATCTATCCAAAAAAACAGATTTGTAGATTTCTTTCTTCTTCTTTCTTCCAAACAGTTTTTTTCCATTAAAGAAACACACAAAGTGGAAGAAAAATTTGCAACGAGTATTAAAAAAATCAGGGAGATAAATCATGACTTCCATTTATACGTTTTCTGCAAAGGAAGACTGAAAGATTCTCTGAGGTTCTTCAATAATAACCCAGATTTTTTTTTTCCTTCCTCTGATGGACTGATATTTTAATGTCAAGTTGCTGACATAGTCAAAGCTGCAGGGTAAAATATTTTCCATGGTTTAAATTTAGGAAAAGAAACAGAGAAGAGTTAGGTAGTTAATGAACTTACTTTGGCATAATTAAACCTAACACTGAGCCTAATTGTGAGCAGAAATTAGAAAAGGTTTGACATGTAGAACAATAATTAGGGAAAATGATTTGGGCTTTTATTAATTTACTTGGGTTTTGTTTTTTGGAAGGCTTTTTAAAAGTAACGGTGGTGATGGTGGGTTCTCTGACCTTTATACATACCATTCAACAACCATCTTCCCTGATTTGGTTGCTTGCTTGCCTGCCTGCCCACCTCATAATATTCCAAATAAATTAAAATATGACATTTCACTGAATTAATTAATTTTTTAACTAATTAATTATTATTATAATTTTTAACAGCTTCCTAAACCTCATATCTCTTTTCTTCCTTTCACACTGCGAATCAAAACCACAACTCTCACTTACTTTGACCAGTTGCTACCCCACCCTGATCTTTTGAGTGGAACCTCAAGCAGAGAAGTAGCTTCTCTTTTAGGGAAGAGAAAAGGCTAGAGAACAACCCCTTTTTCTTCTTTTCTCTCTCTCTCTCTCTCTCTCTCTCTCTCTCTCCTTTTAGCATCTCTGTTATCAGCAGCAACCCTTTGTTTGAAACCCTAATTGATCTTAACCCAAAAATAGTAAAAAAGAAGAGGAGCAGAAGAGCTAGCAAGCTTTCATATGTATTTTTGACAGTCTCTTTCTGCAACCATCAATTTCCGTAGGCTGTTTATTCTCTTCTTCACGCATACCCTTTTGCAGCTCCCAGATAAAGCACAAGAAGCAAACCAAACCAAACCAAACCACTGTACTCCTTTGCTTTGCAGATCTCACAGAGCTAGCTTTCATATATGGCTTCTCATAGTTGGTACTTTCTCATCAGTTTACCTCACAGTTTCAGCTCTCTCTCTCTCTCTCCTCTTCTTAATTGAGCTTTGTATTTTAAGTAACCAAATATCTCTCACCTCCTCCATATCTTTGTCCCCCTTCACGTCTTTCCATCTCTCTCTCTCTCTCTCTCTCTCTCTCTCATGGATTCTGGCAGTGGGAGTATGCAGTCCTCCAGCGGCGGCGATGACGAGTACGACTCGCGGGCCGAGTCAATCTCCGCTCTACTGAGTAACCCACCGAGTCAACTCGGCCACATGTCTAGCCACGCACCGCCACATCACCACCACCACCACCAACAAACCCATCACCACCTAGACCCTCTATCAAACATGTTCGATCCATTATCCTCCAGGCTCACGAACCCGAACCCGCTTCTCAATTTCGACATGGCGTGGTCCAAAACCCTAAGATCCGACCCGAATCCCACCGATCTCGGTGGCCTAAGCCAACCCTTTTTGACCAACCCCAATATTAATCAATTAGGACAAAGCAGAGGCGGCGGCGGAGGCGGAGGCGGCTCGTCTACTTTTGCGGCTCTTCAGATCCCGCATGATCACCAAAACGTTTCGGCTTCTTCTTCGGCTCCAAACAACCAAACCCACAACATCAACAGTAACAGCAACAACAACAGCAACAGCAACGGAGTCGTTCGGAACCCGAAGAAGAGGTCGAGAGCGTCGAGGCGCGCACCGACGACTGTGTTGACAACAGACACCACAAATTTCAGAGCCATGGTTCAGGAATTTACAGGTATCCCTGCTCCTCCATTTACATCCTCCTCGCCTTTCCCGAGAAGCAGACTGGATCTCTTTAGCTCAGCTGCTGCCGCCTCTGCCCTCATGAGATCAGCTGGAGGAGGAGGAGGAGGAGGAGGAGGGGGTTTGGGTTTGGAGCCTTCACCTCCTTCTTACCTTTTAAGGCCTTTTGCTCACAAAGTCTCTCACCAACCACCGTCTTCTTCTTCCATTCTTGATCATCCAAACTTACCCTCAACTAATTCAAGTGCCACTAACCATCACAATAATCTCCTCAATATGCAGCAAAACCCATCACCCTCCTCCTCCTCGGTTCTTAATTTCCAGTCCCTCTTTCAACCCCAACATCAGCAGCAGCAGCCTAAATACTCACTGCCCATTAATTCTCCGAATGATCTCCTTGCCTCCAAGACACCTCACCACCACCATCACCAAGGCTCTTTGGACCATTTTGGCTTGACCCAGCAGCAGCTCAATGTGCTTCCCAACAACATCGTATCCTCCTCGGATGCCGCGCTCTCGAGGCACGACAGTAATTCCAACTGGGGTAACGGAACAGGGCCCAGCAACCACCACAAGACCAACATTGACAACAACAATGTTGATCATCAAGGTCTGATGAGATCCATCAATGGGAATTACGGCAACGGGAAGCTAAACTACTCTGCTGGTTCTTCGTCCAATAATATTATCCATGGCGATAAGGCGCAGGATCAGAATGTGGCTGCTGCTGCTGCTAGAAGTGAAGGTATGGTAGAATCATGGATTTGCTCCTCAGATTAGGCTTTTACACCCCAAATCATGAGAAAAGTTTCACAGAATCTTTGTGTCTGTCTTAACCATGACCACGACCAACATAATTGAACATTTTTTTTTTTTTTCTTCTTTTTTGTTTCTCCTTTTCTAGTTAATATTTGTATGTAAATAATAGACCCTCTCTCTCTCTCTCTCTTTTCATATATTTTCATACACTTCCATACACGAACCATCTTGGGTTTTTTCTTTTGTCAATTTGTGGTTCGAACAGTAATTAAAATGCTGTTAGTTTGATTATATATATATATATGGGTGGTGCTAGAGGCACCAACTTTGGGCACCAACTTGGGCACCAACTCTCTAATAGAGGTGGAGCCCGCCAATACACCGGGTCCCACGCTCTATTAGAGAGTTGGTGCCCAAGTTGGTGCCCAAAGTTGGTGCCTCTAGCATTTTCCATATATATATATATATATATGTCATCGAAGTCTGAAAGCAAGTCCTGTGTAAACCAGAATCTCTGGATCGATTTATGATGGTTCAGATAGAATATTTATTATAAGCCCACCAACCATGAACAGCTTAATAGTTTTCCTCGTACCTTCTCTTTTTTGTGCCATGTGATTTCAATCTTATCTGAAACGAAGAAGAAGAAGAAGAAGAAAGAAGAAAAATCTACCAAATGGTCTGAGAGGTTTGTCTGCTTGCTTGCTTTATTATTCCCACCCCTCCATTTTCATAATATTCTTTCAAACAATTTTATTTTTTATATTTTTTTCTGAATATTTTATATCATGTCTAGGAGTGATTGGTGGCGAGATTTGGGGTATAGTTAGCCGCCGCAATCTCTTATTATACGAATCAAATATTTTTCATGTGCTTGTGTTTCCAAACTTTTTTTGTTCTTTTCATTTTTATTAAATTAAAGAGAGACATATATAGATGCCAATAAAGTTTTGTATTTTTCGGGTACATTAGTCGGTGGTGTATCATCCAATACACATGAAATATGTAGAAATATTTTATTTTTATAGTCTGTATATTGAAGAATATTTCTACATATTATGTGTGTATCGGATGATACATCAGCTCGGAACATACATAGATTACTTGTAGATGCCCATTGTACAGAACCATAGAGGATCGTCCATACGTTGCACCCCATTAGATAATCATGAATGCGCACATATTACTTTTGTTCATTTCATACGTAAATGTCTTCATGCTTTTACTCAAACAGTAAGAAAAAAGAAATGCGATAAAAGTTAAAACACTTGATGCATGTACTTCTGGGACAAGGTAGCCACACAAATTCCGATTATTGTCTCTTTTGTACAACCACAAAAATTAATTGCAAATTCACCAAGTTTTGCATTTTTCTTTTTCATACCCTAAGATTATTACACCAGAAAAATATGTGACCTTTTTGTTTTTCCCTTGGGTATATATACGTTACTTTCAACTCTCTATTTTTTCTTTTTAATCAAAAGATTTTATTACATATATGGGGCATGTGTGCTGACATCATTGAACTAATCTGAGCTACACATATCGCATGCTAAAAACAAAAAGGTACCCGAGCAATTGCGAACAGCTCAGTGTGAAGAAGAACATTGATTTGCAAACTAGTGGTTTTAAGTTTGAATCCCCACATTACTTAGATAAAGATTATAAGAAATTCACATTCTCCTTATAATTTTAGACTGTCGCTTATATTTAATAATTATCCAACTAGTTTCATCTTTAGTTGGGGATATGCATACGTGATAGCAATGTGATTATACAAATTTAAGCCACTGAAAATTGATAAAAGTACCCAAAATCGCCATCAAACAGAAACATAAAATTTACTATCTAGTAAATATTTTCGTATTTTTAAAAGTTCTTTTTTCGAACGATTAGAAACGTTTCAACCACAGTGATCAAGAATATTAGTGAGATCTTGTTTTGCACAAATACGTGAAAAAAAATTCATATATAGTACGAGCCATGCATCGTTGTAACTCTCCCATACACTATTTTTTCTTCTTCTTTTGTCTCAGCTCTCCTTGTCTTTCATATAACAAATGTTCCTTGCTGAAGCGTACAGTAAAATAGTAAATGGGGTTTGTGTACATTTTATTGTTTTTAATGAAAAAAAGTTAAGGGGGGGATTGGCTACTCTCACAACTAGCGTCAGGGTATACCCACAACCTCGAGCCGGAAGGACTTACACGTGGCATCCAAGTGCTAGACTTAAGTGTGGCACCCAAGTGTTAACCGTCATTGATATGAATTTATGTAGGAAATTATAGATCGTGCACCACTGAGAACTACTGGCAGTGGGACTCGAACATTAGTAGGGCTACACAGTGCATAGACCTTACCAACTGAGCCAACCCTCATTGGTTGGTTCGGGTACACTTTTTGTCAAACAGTATTATGGGAAAAGATTTCCCTAATCTCCCGCCAAAAGGGTTGTCTTTACATTTGAAAACCGACCAAAAGAATGCTTCAATTTTGAAATTTATGGATTGGGAAAAAGTTGAAGTACTTTCAATCACTCCTCTGGAATTGTTATGATTAAGATAACATGAAACGGTGATCCATGTGAAAGTCGATAATCTTTTTTCATTTGTTGATTGATAGATCATGATCTTTTTCACTTCAATTATGCATTGTTTTTTTCACCCTTGGTTTAAATTTGGAATGATGAGAGGGGGATATGCAAAACCGCTTTCAAAAAATTTTGAATTCTCTCTTTTCAAAAGGGGTTCCTCTTTTCTCACTCTCTTTCACAAATCAAATCTTTTTTATTTTCAAAATAAATGCAGTAAATAAACATAAAATGATTAGGCATGGGATTTTGGAGAGATTTTGAAGGGCCAGACCAGGCCGTTCGAGAGAGAAAAGGGTGACACTTGTTTTGGCATCATGGTGGCCCATGCTTGTGAATAAAACCTTTGCTCATTTGCAATGATGGCTGTTTGTTTCATCTCAGCCCATAGGGAAGAAATGTCAAACGCAGAAACAGTAAGGCAAACTGGAAAAGTTGTCTCTCACTCTATAATAATACTGCCCTACATTTTTGAGCCTGTAAACTCAAAAAGATATTCAACTTTTGGCATCCCCTGCACCAAAAGGGTGGCACCATTCCCTCCTTTTCTCTACTTTGAAACCATTCCCTCACTTGGAAAGCATATATTCAAGTGCCAAACACTAGATGAAGACAAAAAGTTTAGTATTTATAGAATAATCATATTGCTATATAGAATAATCATGTTATGAGATTTTGGAGGAGATTCTTACAATTTCTAACAGGGTTTAAAAAGTGAGGGGGGGTTTTTTTTTTGGACAGAAATGTGATTTGATTCTTATTAGGCCACCTCCAATGCAAAGGGTTCTAGGCATCTGCTAGACTTTGAATGGTTGGAAACCAACCACTCAAAATGTCATGACTCAAGAAGAGCACGCCACATCGGGTATTTTATTTCAAAATGATTAGTCACTGATGAGGTTGATGCTCAAATCGATTGAGTATTTTAGCGATATGAGACTCAACATGCTAGTACAACTTGTGGTGTTACATTCTCTTCCACTTAAATGCTTGGTGTCCTCATCTCATCTCATCAAGAGTGGCATTTGTGCCTCTAGCCCACATAATGCAACCCATGGGGTTGGCTTTGATATCATCTATCACGACTCAGGGAAACGCATTCCACCTCGGCGCTATATCCTAAAAGGACTAGTCACTAATGAGGCTCCATGCCATAACTTATGAACCTAGATCAACCCTATGGGAGCGAAAGTATTCGACGTCCAATCCGGCGAAGCCATGTGGAAAATAAGGTTGCCCTAAATTATATTAGTTAAACCAAATAATCTGGTTTATTAATATAATTAATAGAAGAGTTATTTTATTTAGACAAGGGAGTGAATTGCACTAAATCCCTTTGATCCTCTTCATCCAATTACTTAAGGAAATGAATAATTCCCATAAAAGAGAATTATTCCCTCCTTAATTGGACAAGAGAAGGTTACAAAATGGGAAAGCTATTTAAGCTAAATGGAGACACAAAGAAGGTAATTTTTCATAATCTCTCTCTCTCTCTCTCTCTCTCTCTCTCTCTCTCTCTCTCTCTCTCTCCCTCTCCTCTTAGCCAACCCTCACTCAATCCCACTCACGCTTGAGGCCGGCCACCCTAGTTGCTACCGCCTCTCCCCCTCTCTTGGCTCTCATGTTGCCACTCATCTCTCCCGTAGAGAAAACTCTATATCTTTAAAAAATATCTCATGTTATTTACTGACTTAGGCATCAGAGAGCCATTGGCTAAAACCACAACGGTGGTTTTCCAATTGTTTTCTTTTATCTTGCAAGGAATCTAAAAGAAGGACGATCAAGTGAGAAAAGTTTCATCCGCTAATATTCCCCCAAGAGATATTTGCACAAATAGACCCAGTAGTTTATCAATTTAGGATTCAACACGCTAGCAAAACCTGGGGTGTTACACAAAAGACACCATGTTATCGTATACCATGAATCTCACATATGAAGAAAGTAAAAATGGAAACAATTTCTACACCTATAAAAGCATTGTTTGGAATATACCACCCGCGTCTCAGCATCAAATCTCCACTTGCGTTTTAGTGTCAGATCTCTACCACCATCTTTTTTGCGGTTTCTTCATGTTTGGAATAAGTCACAAGACTCTTTGAGTTTTCTGTGTAGGTTTCACCTCTCCTTTTGTGAGAGTTTTTCATCTATCCTTTGTGAAAATTTTCCACATCTCCTTTGTGATAGTTTTATTTGTATTGTTATAACTTGATTTTTTCAAGAGCTTTATCTATTTTTGGTTGTTCTAATTTTACACTCTTAGTCGAGATGCCCCAGATTGTCTTAAGTTTGATGTTAGATCACTCTGTATTGTAATAGCCCTTTGTGGCTAGTTTGTATTAGACCTTCGTGGCTAGTGGCTTTTTTTGGTTATGAATGTAATGAAATTTTATTTTTTTCTCACCCCCCACCCAAAAAAAAAAAAAAAAAAAAAAAAAAAAAAAAAAAAAACCAAACCAAACAAATAATTTGTGCTTCATTATCTTTCATCTCCTTTAGATGTTCCTTGGTTTTTGCAGGTTGCTTGGAATAATTGTTTATGGAAACTTCATAAGATGAATTTTTTTTCTCCCATATTTTTCATGAGGTTGTACGATCGATGCATTGGCTAATTTTGGTGCGACTCATGATGCTTATTATTGCTAGTCACAAGTTCCTTCATGTGTTGCTAATGCTTATGTTTAGGATATTTCTTCATTTACTTATTATCAATTTCGTTAATTGTTGTCCTTTTATTTCAAGTTCTCTTTTCTTGCGAGGTTTTGGTTTTATGACTCCCTCGTTGATTTTTATTTAATAAAATTTATCCTCGTACCGTGAAGGTTCAACTAGAGAGAGAAAAAAAAGGCACCTTAAGTAGTTTAAGGTGTTTGGTAAAAATAAAATATCTTGAATATTTTAAAAGCAATGGCCTCATAACAACAACCTCTATGTTAATTTTGAAAGTTGCTTTCACAAGAAGCAAATAAAAGCCTTTGATGTATTTTTTCAATTCGTATAAGACAATCATAATTTTTTAAATGACATTGTTTACCACCACCACCATCTCCACCCCTACCATCACCTCTTCCACCACCATTACCACCACCACCATCACCTCCACCTCCATCACCACCACCACCACTACCATCACCACCACCACCACTACCATCATCTCCACCTCCATCACCACCACCACCACTACCATCACCTCAACCTCCAACCACTTCCACTACCATCACCTCCACCTCCAACCACTTCCACTACATCACCTCCACCTCCAACCACTTCCACTACCATCACCTCCACCTCTTTCCCTTGGATCGTTCTTCAATAGTTTTAAACAAAAAAAATTATTGCCTAATCACTGTAAACTATTTTCAGAAAGTAACAGAGATTGGTTGCAGAATTCCTACTTCAGTACTAGTAGTGCTTATAATAAGATTTTTCACATTATCTCTTGTGTCTGCTTTAGTGGGTCAGAAGTGATTTTCATTAACCCTACATTGTCTGCCAACACCATTATTTACTAACATCCAGCTCCTCAAATTATGATGTCTCCAGTTCCCACAAACTCTTACAGGTACTGAAAAATACAACCCACAGAGGCACTCATGCTGCAACAGTTCAGCATAGAATATTATTATTATTTTTTCATTCTTTAGGGTTTAGTTTATCAAGTGGAAATAGCCTCTCTCGAATCTTATTCCTCTTTAATTTTCCAAATTTGATTATAAAGTAATGAATAATTTGTTCATTTCTACAACGATGGATACATTTATGGACCAATTGGAAAATAAATTATCGGGATTGTGACTACATATCCACTTATCAATGCTGCCTCACCATGATCTCAAAAGTTACCTACTCTTTTGGACTTTAACCATAACAATTTTGTTCACTACCCACGAGCATCCAGATCTTCAACAATCAAAATAATTAGACTTTGATGGCTTCCTTTATCCCACAATAAAAGCTAAATAATTATAGAAGGACTATTTGCGATGTATTGGCCTGATTATAATTTCTCAAGATTAAAAGCAACTCGCAGTCGCAGTCCTCAAACTCATAAACTAGAACCCTAATCAAGTTGTTACACAGAGACATGTCGTTACATACCATCATATACCTTCCGCTTCTTTTTTATTTATTTATATTTTTTTTTACGAGAAATAATGATCATCACTACTGAAATGGCATGTGGTTACTCTCTTTAAAAAAAAAAAAAAAAAAAAAAAAAAAATAATCAATGGCGTGAGGAATTATTTGTGTTTTGTATTGTATTGGTTTTGGTTATAGTTAAGTCAGTGGCAATTATGTGGCTCTCAAGCTTTTGCCTAGATGCACGTACGTACAGAAGAGAGCAGCACACGCGGATGATGCACTGGCGGCATGCAAGGCAAAGCTTGAAGCCCAAAGCAGCTGAAGCAGTAGAAGCAGAAGCAGGCACTACTTTTAGCTTGGTTAGGTGCACCATCAATTTTGATTAGATTTGTCAACTGTCTCCCCCCAGTAAAAGCTCAGAGAAGATAAATACACAGAGACAGGAACACAAGGCAGAGAGAGAGAGAGAGAGAGAGAGAAGCCCATTGACATCGAGAATATGCACTGCACAAGCACAAGCACAAGCACAAGGACAAAGCAAGTCATGATAAAGCGATGAGAGAGAGAGAGAGATGGCATAGAGTGTGGGGCCTTTGCCAAATGCAACCGTCCTTTGTTCCATCATGGTTGCTCCCTCTTCATGATTCTAATTCCCTGAGCCCATATTAATCATGCCAACTGACTCAGCTATGTCCCTACCTCACTACCCAAAAGAAAACAAAAATGAAAAAAAATTGCGAGTTAGGTCAATTAATTAAGTCAGTAAATTCGTCCCCTTACATTTAAATTCGAATCTACTTTCCCGTAAATTAGATTAATTTAGAATATCACTCGTATGATAAATGAAATAAAAATTCACAGACAATAAGGTACAAAGCTGGCTAAGCTAAATCAGGGCCCCTTTCCCTCTACCCCTCCCACAAAAAAGAAAGTGGAAATAAAACACCTAGGTTGCAGCTAAGGGCCAATTGTCATGATTGTTTTCGGATGAGAAGTAGACTTTTGAGTTCTTGGAATTTGATACAAGTAATAAGTTGAAATTTGGTTTTTTTAAAAACTGTTTTCTTGCCCTCATCTCATTTTCTTATTCCTCCTTGTTCCAAAACAAAGGAGGGCCCAAGCATGATGAGAAGGAACCACAAAGGGCCCAAATGGATGACCGGTTGGATTCTACTCAATACAAAGTTAACAGATGATCAGCAAATAATTTAGAGCTGATTGGTTAATATGTTATGCTTATGCTTATTTTCTGTTGTGGTTTATATTAAATATCAAATAAATAGGAATGGAATGATCATTATTATTATTTTTTGATTAAAAAAAAATTTAGGAAAAAGAAAAGAGTGGTAGGCTATAAGGCAGGGAATGATAGAGTTAACAAATAACTATTTGTAAGAAGGGTAACTAGTGTAGTGGTTTGGAGTAATTGCTTCACTATGCAAGGTTTTGGGTTCGAGTCATAGCATCCGTGTTTTGTGTGTGAGTTTAGTGTATTACCACAAACCATGTAATAGAAAAGAATGATGGAAGAATTGTCTTGATGCTTTGACACGAATGTAATTGAAAAACAGATCAATTTTCAAATACATATTAGCATGTAACTTAATACGATACAAATCACTTATATATATCAAAATCAAAATCAAGATCGGAAATTGATTAACCATTTAATTATCATCATAATCTTAGTGTTTTATCATCATAAACTATAATTCTGAGACTTTAGAGGCAGATATCATATGGCTACTCTTTGAGGACTGGGCATAGGCTTAAGACCTTTGCAAGAAACCATCAATCTTTTAGTTGCGGCCCAGACAAACTAAGCCCCATCCAAACTTCTAAGTTGGGGTTTTCACGTATGAGAATTTTGCATAAATAACTGCAGCCACATTTCTAAAAGGGGAACTTATATAAATCCGCTGACAAACTACAATATTGTTATTAATACAAGAATGAACAATTGCGATTACAACAAGAATCAATATGTAACCTTACAATATAGTTGCTCTGAAGTCGTGGAAAGTCTCACAAGTAAAATCATGCATATTAGAAACAAAATGTGGTATTGCAAACATTGTCTTGGGGTTAAAGTAAAAGAGACTTCATGAGCATCCAGTCTTTACCGAAGCAAGCAGATGAAGCTTTCTTTTTTGTATTTGTGTTGGTTTATAGGAAGCGAATGAACAAAATCTAGCTTCTGCTTCGTAGGTCTTCTATTCTCTCACATTCGATGGCTGCTGACAGGAAAGCAGGGACTTCTCGTCATTATCATCCAAGTCAATGCTCTCCTCCAATCCATATTCTATGTCAATTTTGCTTTTCTCACTTCCATTCAGCACTTTCGATTCTGAAACACAAACTTCGGAGTATTCTTCTCCTGAAAAACGGGAACAATCTGTTTCCAGCTCTTGCATTTCTGATTCAGCTAAAGCTTGCATTCTCGCCCGGTCCCTGTCTCTAGGGTATGTGCAGTAAAGGAAGGAGTAGATTAAGACACAGAGTGTCATCGGAATGCCCAAAGCTGTGTATAGTGCCTTGGCAAGTGATGCAGCATTTTCTCTATCTGTTTCAATCTCTACAGAATTTGATGATCCTTTAGGAATTGGCTTAAAGCCATAAACATGCTGAGCCAAAATCCCAACTATCGGTGGAGCAAATGATGATAGGATGGATTCGAAAGATTGATCCAGAGCATAGATGCTTGTACGAGACCTCTCAGGCACTATCTCTGCAAATATTGGACTGTGAACAAGTTTACATATTGAAGAGTTCCAAGAAGGTTGATGTATATGAAACTTTCATTACCAGTAATTTAGTTTTAATCGCACCAGTCTCACTTGAGAACTGACAACATGCAACATTGGTCAGGATGACTCACCAACCATAACTCATAGTAGGAAAGGAATCACCCCTTCATGAAGTAACTCTAGTCGACATGATTTACCAACTATAAATTGTGGAAACTTACTTGGTCATGCAAAGTTGGTGCACTGAAGGGTATCTATTTTTACTGACAGATCATGCATATAAATGTTTCGGTAGATGAAAGAGTGTCCATAATGTTGTTTGTTGGAAAGGAGAGAAAAACAGTGAAAGCAAAGGTCAAAGATTAATAATTAAGTCGAAGATGGGACATGGTAGCTTTGTATTTGTTCAAACCTATCAGACGAGCGAATGCATATATAGAACTAATCAAACTAACTTAAGAACTCAATTCAGACTAACTAAATGAGTTGAGAAGATTTTGAATGTTACTTTCTAAAGCTGACTAATTATCAAGAACTCAAGAGTACCTCTGAAAACTAGAGAACATACAGAAGGAACTAACCAAACTAGCATAGGGCCAAATCTAACGGACTACATGAGTTCATATGTGAATGGAACAATATAAAGCTGACCCATTATCAGAAAAGAAATATCCACTGCAAGTTTCATATGTGAGACAGATTTGAAGAAAGCGATTTGAGACTCCAATAATTATTAATTAGTGTGTGAATGTGTGAACAAGGACGAATCTAAATAAATTGGTTACTCAGAGAAGTATGAAACTTTCATCGGACAATCCTAGGAAAAGCAACCAATCCAATCTTCAATTCAATTGTATCAAATAACCTCTTCCCCACCCCACCAGAACACAGGGAAAGTTATATATATATATCTCTGCCTAGTTAGCTCTAGAAGACAAGGAAAAAGGACAAAGTGGGAAAGGATACATACTTGTTAGTTGCAGGAGCATTCCAGGAAGTGAACCATCCCATAATGAACAAGACCAGCCCATGCACGAATCCTGTGGATGGGTCATCAGGCAACACCAGAAGCAAAATAGCAGCGAAAGGAATGGCTGAACCCGCGCTTATCTGTGAAAGAACTATCCTCCCAGCATTGGGAAAGGGTTTTGCAAGAACATCGCCCATGATTCCTCCGAAGACACTTCCAAGTGAGCCACCAATTATAAATATGGTCCAAAGAACTGCCGTTTCTTTGTGGGAGAAACCAATAAGTTCTAACCACAATGGAGCAAATGACAAACCTGACCAGGGGAATGATCCAAAGACACCCTGAGCAATTAGTATTTGAAAAGACGGGATTCTAATAACTGACTTTGCTTCTATAATCAGGTCTTTCACTTCTGATGAAAAAGGCTTATGTGAAGTTATATCTTTAGCTCTACCATTGCTCTCTAAGTAGTGCGGATCATTGGCAAAGAGGCGAACCAATATACCGACTATGACACTTATGAGTCCAACCAAATGGAATGCTATTCTCCAGCCAGGTATACCCATGAATGTAGTGGATGCTATTAGTACAGAACAAAGACCACCAATTATGGAGCCAAGGTTTCCTGTTAGTTGTAACCATCCAAACGCTGTACCCCGGTTGCTCTCATCAGTTGAGTCCGCAACAAGAGACTGAATAGCAGGAGTGACAATGGCAAGTCCAATCCCATTTAATCCTCTTGAAACAGCCACCTAATCAACCAAATCAGACAACTAAGTGTTGAATTGTAATCTGGTAAGTCAAACTGCAAATCAACGAAATTCACTACGCAGGAAGAATTTGTTACCTACAATTTTCAATTACACCTTATAAGTTTATGTTAAAAATGTTTTAGAGCTTGTTTACTTTTAATTTGTTTAAGCTTTATTATCTCGTATCAAGACTTACGAGCTTCATGATAAAACATGCACTCATCTCTTTGTCCCTCACCACAACAAGCACAGCATCTTAGTATAGCTTTGAATTTATGAGTCATGAACCAATTACTTCTCTTGAAAACAATGAAATGTGCAGCAACATTTGATTGGTATGAATATGCAGCATGAGCTTCAGAAGTCATGGATGAGCAAAAACTAAATTTTGCTAAAAAGGAAAGAAACAGCTGGGTTATCAAGCACTATCATTAAACTTACTGTTTTAGGACAACTGTATTTGTGACTTTAGACTTTTGATGTAAAACAGGAAGAGAACATTGACAACTTCAATGTTAACCTTGTATCCTTCTTCATTTTTTTTAAGATATCTTGAAGTTCATAGTGTTACGTATACACATCTTCAAACTTATATCTTCAATGGCATCATCTTCCATTTAGATTGTTGCTTTGAATTCCTTAAAAGGGTCCTACTTTTCTATGCTCTTGTACATCAATGTGCTTGATTCCTCAAAACTTTTCTAATTGTAAACTATCCAGAATCCCCATTATTGTATAACAGGAAATCCATTAGACAGAATCATCACAAAAACAATGAAGTACACTCTAATATGACTTACGTTTGAACGAGAACTTGAAAGTTTGCCGAGTTCAATGATTTTCCCTCCAAATCCTTAATTTGAAGCATTGATACCAATAAAATCCCTGTCCATTGGGCCACCAATAAAGATTGAACTCCACAGTTGCCCAAAAACATAATTGGACAAGACATGAAACAGCATTTTGTATTGCCCATTTGAGAAACAACTCAACATAAAACACTAACAAAATCACTTGCCTAACTAAACTAACCAATCCAAATCATGGGTTCTCTTAGATCCTCAAAGATGACCAAAATAATTATTCCATATTACACTATATTTCATTTTTGAAAAGAAAGTTGCAAGTTGAAAACACCATAGAAAATAAGAAACCAGAGAGAGAGAGACCTGAAGGAAAGTGGATGAAAAGCCAACAAGGAAGGTGGCAGCAGCCCAGAGAAAGGCACCAAGAGCAATGACATGGGCTCGGTTGTGGCGCATAGCAAGGTAAGCCGCGAGTGGGTAGCAGGCAGACTGGACAATGGATCTGAACAGAGTGAGTGAGCCCAACCCAGTTGGGTCGGTGTGCAGACTGGCCCCCACCTCTTTGTACACCCCTGGCAACAACGACTCGTCAGCTCTCTGCATAATACTTGCTAGGTTCACCAACAACAATGTCACAGCCTCTGCTTTCATTTTCCAATCTCTGTTTGGACTGAAAACAGAGCACTCTGCTCGGTTCTCAGACCAAGGGGAGAAGGACAAATCAGAGGTTTTATGTTAGGGACAGAAGGGGAAGAAGTTTTCGTTGACTAAAGGCTGGATGGAGACTGAAGGGTTACTTTGGAAATGATGACCCACATTGAATGTGGGACCTGGTATGCGGATCTGGGCTTGTCTGACACGTGTAGGGTGGCCTAGCAGTTGGTTGATTCTTCTTGTCTTTGATCAATTTTTAGTATAATTGCTTTTTATGGAAGGAAAGAAGCAAGATGGGTGATGGGAATCCAAATCGATGTTATTTTACAAGGTGTTCCCTATCTGCTCACAGAACAGAGCTATGAAGATTTTTTTTCTAAACTTGAAAGAACTTTGAGCTCCCAACCTACTTTTATTTTAGTAGTATTTTTAGTTAGAGAGGGTCTCAAGTTCGATTTACATGAACAACGAGAATGATATATATTCTCAATGAGTTTGATACTCTTGTTGTGGCTAGTCTCATATTGTTGTGATGTAGCTTTCTTTTAGGGCAAATTTAGTGGGCATTATTATATGGTCGAATGAAATCATAATTCATAATTCTAATCAAATGTTTGATAGCATTAAATGATTTTTAATTTTCTGCCAAAATTGAAATTTAATGTACCAACACAAACATTGGATTTTGCCAAATTATAGAGACCAAAATCATAATTTGCAAAAACCAACAAGATGAAAAAGAAAATGAAAGGGCACTTAGCACATTCCATAACCAAAAAAATGCTTGACTTGACCTCGTGTCCCTAAATGGACGTTGAGTTTCAGCTTAGATGTTTCCAATTTCATAAACTTCATATGCTTTAGATTTGGAACATTCAGTATCTCCACAGCAAAAAATTCCTTGCACTCCTCTTCGAATATTCAATTGTTTTCTTTCATTGGTAAATTACTCAAATGGTTCTCAAATTTGTACCCGATTTACATTTTGGTCCATAAATTAAATTATTCGTTCAAATTGTCCACCAACTTTTTATTAATCAGCACTTTGGTCCAACCATTACATTTTCTGTTAAATTTAGTTATGTGACCAGTGTTGAGGCCCAAAAAAGTCATGGGAAGCCCAAAGACATTTAAAGCCCAATATAACATATAATATCGATCATGCGTTAATCCAAACTGTATTTTAGGATTTAATTTATTAAATAAATATAAAAATAGTGTACATGCCATGCCAAACTAATAATACATTTTTTCCATGCCAATCACCTATCAAGCTCACATGAACCCAATAAAAGGATCAGGGGCTAGTTATAATATATATATATATATATAATGAGTCGTTGGATTTGAAATCCCAAGATTACCTGATGATCTGGAATATGGGAGGGGTCATCAACCTCATGATCTCCTGATGGTCGGATGACTTGTTGAGTCTCGGCCATGCTAACATCTAGGTTGGTGGAAGGGTTGGTACCAATCACCTCTGTCTGAATTTGCCAAACAAAGTTAGGAAAAATCTGAGTGTAGAAAATTCAACCAAGATGGGCCAAAAAAGCTTACCACCATTTTAGCCTCAGAAGTAATAGTCTGTCCACCAACCTCAGCCTCAAATATGGGAATTCGAGATTCCTATATTAAAACAAGAAGTTAAGAAAATACTAGGAATTAAGTGGAAAATGAAGTGAGAAAGAAACTTGGCTGAAGAAGAAATGGCTAAGTGAGTGGTTGAGTGAGTGGCGTTGGGTTGCTCTACCTACTCGAGCTAGCTACGAAAAGGCCAAAAAATCTCAATTCTTCTACATTATATATACAAAAAAAAATTAAAAAATATTTATTATTATTATTAAAAAAAAAAAAAAAAAAAAAAAAAAAAAAAAAAAAAAAAAAAACCTAGGGCTAATGGGTTCCTTGGGATCTTTCTCGGTCGGGCAAGGATGGTGTCATCGGCTGGTAGAATCTTGAAATCATAGTCATATGAGTTCCCATCCTCCCCAACATCTGGAAGAAAATATCATAAATGTTAGCTTCTAAAACGTTTAAGATGAAATGAGAAATGGCCAGAAGTCCAACAAAAGTTGGCTTACCTTGGGTGGAGGGAAGTAGCCTCTTCTTACCCTAACTTGAACTAGAGTCGGCACTCACCTCTTTAGTGGCTGCAATAGGTGAAGATGTTTGTCGACTAATAGTCAAGACTAGCATATAAAACAAAAAGCGAAAACTAAAAGTTTACCTTGCTTAAAATTATAGTAAATGGAAGAGCAAGCGCAACCCTAAAAGATCTTCTCCATTTGGACCTCAAAGGTCTAGGAAAACCAAGTGGTTGACATTTTCTCCCATCAAGCCTTCAAGAATTCGGTGAAGCCGAATTTGGGGTCCAGAGTCTGGAAGTTGAAACCTTTGATCAACTCACGATTAAAGTTCACCACAGAATTCACCTCGCTTACTTTCTTAAAAGACACTCTTCATAAGGAAAAGTGGTTGTGGGAGTCAACCATGAGAGATGGAACACCCTAAATGAAACTCATTTGATGACCAACGACTGCAGGATAGTAAACCTTGCAGCCACATGGGTAATGGTTCCCTTTGTTCAGTGCAAGACCATAAGGAAGATCTCGACTGATTAAGATACTTGCCCAAAGTTCTAGTTCTTCTTCTTTAGTCTCTAGTGTGGGGATGCTGGCAAGGTCCAAAGCCAAATAGCCCGAGTAACGATGATCTAAGCAAATGGATAAGTCACTAGGTGACCTATTTGAGCGAGTCACCCTGGAATGTGATGCTTGGGTAAGGGGAGGCTAGCAATCGATTTTCTTAGAAGCGAGTCACCCAGCAATGTGATGTTAGTTGGACCTAACTCTGGAAGTAAACTTGGATCCACAGTTGGAAAAGCCAAATCGGGCCTGAAGCATTGCATGACATGGGTTTGGGCAAAATAATCTTGTGAAAGCATCTGTAAAGGTAGGCCAAAAAGATGGGACCCAAGGCCACTGCTTAGCCGTCTGCATGAGCCTCAGCCAAAGGTTGGACCTCTTTGCTGATTTAGCTAAACTTTGAGCAAGTCTAGAATTTGCATAGCCACATTTGAAGAAAAGCCACATGCTCCATGTAAGATACACTATTTTTTGAACCTATCGGAGCTCTGGAGGATAACCCGACATAGGTAAAGTTGGGTTTGATCCATTTGTTGAAATTCTTGTTGGGCTTGTCGTAGTCTGGCTCCAAAATGTGTTTCGGAAGGTTAACTTCTGAGTAAGCCACACCATGTGGACGGAGGTTGACGATAGCTGCCAAATCAAGTAGAGTGGGGGTCATCATCCCAAACCGTAGCCTCATGCAATTAGTGGAGGATGACCAAAAGCATAGGCCTACGATGATGAGTGAGCAATCAAAATTGAGTACTCCTAGAGGCACAAAGAGCCAAAATATCGTAGATCCCGCTTTTTTGCAAAGAAGTCTTTAGTCTTAAAGCTTTGTACCAATCATACCAACTTCTCTTAGAATCAATGTCGGCCATTGGGTTGGGTTTCTTGGCTTTGGACTTTTTCCTAGCCACAAGGTCAACCTTAGAAGGTCCATATAGCCAACCTTTGAAAGGTCGGATACTTTCCCAAGTCGATTTCTAATCGAACTCCATGGTGTAAGTGTTCACCCCGTTTCGTGATTACTCCTGAGATGGAAGGGCAAAGTTCCCTACTGCCTTGAAAACCATTGACTGGTCAACAAGTCAGCTTTCTTTGGTGTATGAGCGTGCCACTGCTAGCAATGAAGATTCTTGCAGATTCATTCTAGAATAGATAACTTGCGCCCCAAGTTACTGATTTCTGTAAACAAACGATTGTGAATTTGGGTGAGGAATATCTCCCAAGTAAGTTCTTTTCTTGCCTAAGACTGGTGAGGACTTTAACAATTTATCTCAGTATAAAGAGGTTGTTCTGGCCAGAATGGTTGATGGAATTTAAGCTGTTTTAGGCAGAACTGCCTTTTACAAAACTATAAAAATAAATACCCACGCTAGAAAGATAAAAAGACAGCTGGAACTACATTTCTGCCTGGACATGAGGATCTGACCCGGGCTGGACTGGAAATATCTGGGCTGGACTGAACTGTCAACAACTTCAATTGCTAAGTTTCAGCTGTAAATCGATACCAATGGTCAATTCTGGCAGAGCTTTAATATACTTCAAGCCTTTGTGAGGCTTTTGAATGGGTAGAACTGCGGTTTCTTCAGTCTGAAAGGGCAGAAGTGGCTGTTCTTGGGGACTTTATTGGGCTAAAGACTGCACTGTGAATTTTGTTGAGGTTTTCATGTTTGAGAAAAAACTCAAGCTCTACCTATCTTGGTTTTTTGCTGAACCAAATTTGTAACGAGAGAAATCTCGTTTTAAATGACTTATTTTCTAAGTCTTGACCTTGAGAATTCTGATATAAGCTGGCTTTTCTTGGAATTCAAGTGAGCTTTTGGTTGGTTTTGAGTTGTTTGTTTGATTGATCATTTGAGTGTAAGATTGATTGTCCTTTGCCCTGTTCACTCCTTCTTGTATTTATAAGAAATGTCTTCTGGAGTAGGGTAATTCTTTTAATAATGGGCGGCAAATCCTTTCAAAAAGATATTCCTTTTAAAATGGAAAAGTAAAGGGGATTTCATCAGTTTTTGGTAGATAGGTTCTTAATAGGCAATCACTTCCCTATTTTTCTTGAAAGAGAACCTAAAATTTCAACTGCCCCTTTTGTGAGAGCTCAAAAAATCGTGATGGTTAGTCTGATTCCCAGTTTGAACAACTCATTGTTTCCTGCTTTATCTTTTGAAAAATGTAGCCGGCGTATTTCTCTAACAAGATGGTGCCTCCTTTGGAGTGGAGACAATATCCCAGAATATACATAAGAGGGGATTTGATCTTTAGATTTTTTAGAGCTGTCTCTTCCCAGTTTTTGCCAGCTATTGACCCTCTCTAATCATCTCTGTAATGGCTGGTTTTGTTGACTTTTCCAAATCTGATAAGAAAAAGATGTCACGTGGGTTCTAAAAATGGGTCACTTTCTTTATCCAAATCGTGCTGGGCCTATTTTGTCTGGACCCCAAAAGGTGACTTTTTCTTTTTGAGGCCCAAGTCTGTTTGTCTGGTTTGATAAGTCTTGGGCTAGGCCTTTCTGGACTTTGGGCTTCTGCTTTCTGTTTTAAAGACCAAACTATTTGAGTCTTGTAGCTTTATTCTGAGCTTCTCTTTTTGTTGGGCTGGGCGTGCCAATTTAGGCCTAAACAATGCCCCCTAAGTCTGAATCGTTTTTGGAACGGTTTCAGACTTAAATGAATTGGCCATTAAATTTGCGCGTGCCTGTTTCTTCCGTTATCCCACGTCTGCCACGTCTTCCCACTAAGCTAGTGTTCGTGGGAAACTGCTCAGTTACTAGCTCTTTACTAGCTAGTCAATATCAGATGACGCCTTGTCTTCTCCACGTCCCTGTCTTCTCTTTCCCACGTTTTTGAGCTTCCTTAAAAGAAATTCAAAAACCCATTGTTCCTGTTCATCCGAAAACGTAGTATTTCAGACTTTACTCCTTTGAGATTCTCTTCGACAACTCTTTTTTTTGCTAGAACCTACCTTGCCTTTCCTATCAACTTCCTTTGTTCTTCAAAAAAAAATCCTGAGAAATGTCTTCCTCGAAATCTCGTGCTCAGTCTTCCTCTGTTCTAGTTCCTTCAGATTATATTACTGGGACTGGAATTGACAACCACGTGATAGAGGTTAGGAGCAAGCTCCATCCTTTTGCCCAGAAAAACCTATATGAGAATGTCTTTCATTTCTTCGAGAATACCTTGGTGCTGGGGCCTCACTGGTTTGGTCCTGTTCCTCCTGAGATGGCACAACTGATGAAGAAGGATGTTGAGGCTCCTTTATGTTTTGAGAGCACTTCTGCTCTGGCTTCTCATTCTTGGGTTAGCAAGAATTTGAGCTGGTCTTTCCCATCTAGCGAAGTGAGAAATAGTTCAGTGAAATAGGTAGACTGGATTGACAGACTCCTTCCAAGATATGGACCTCACTGGAAGCGGGCTGGTATTTATGACGTCATACTTTTGTCCAAGAAATCTGTCAATAGAGATGAGAACCTGCTTGCTGCTGCCTTGTGTTTCTGGAATTCTGCCAGTAACACTTTCGACTTTCGCATAGGCCCCATGGCTCCAACTCTGCTGGACATGGCTCAGATTTTCGGGTTTAGGCCCCATGGAAGACCTGTTGATGCTGTTGGTGATTATCACAGGTGGAAGAATCAGCAGAAACTAACCAAGCCATTCACCATTTCTCCAGCCCTAATTAACTAGAACTGCTCCTTCTCCAATTATCTCAGGAAATTCAGTACTGAGAAGGACAAGGACCAACAGCACATGCTGTTCCTTATGTATTGGCTGAACAGGTTTATTCTGCCCAACCGCTCTTTTGCAGTTCTGCTTGAGTACAGACATCTGGCAGAAGCTTTGCACAATCACACTGATATTGGACTTGGGCCTACAGTTCTGGCTTATTTATTCAAGAACCTGCATACTGCCACCTTGGAGAATCCGCTGAATATGTCCGCTCCTGGTGCATTTTGGATGATCCAGATCTGGTTGGAGGTCTATTTCCTAGAACTGAGGTTCCCAGATATAGTTCTGCATGAGGATCAGGTTCTGGCTCAGCCATTGATGTCGGCAGAAGTGCCCAGGCGTTCTATTCAAGAGTACCTGATGTTCTTCAGGCACTGCACGAAAAGATCAGCAGCTCAGTGGCAAGTGGTGATCAGGAGAACCTATCCTTGGTTCCAGCCTAGATACTGTTTGTTTGAGAAAGAGCCGGAAGAAGAAGCAGCCAGAATTGATTTCAGGAAGAAGTTCCTGAGTGTGACCCTCCCAAGAGACCTGCCCCATGGAGGTGGGAAGCCTCCCAATTATCATCTGGGGGCAGAAGTATATCACCCCAACTTTTGTGCAAGGCAGCTTGGCTGCCCACAGCTTATTCCACTCAAATCCTATAGGAGCTGCAATTGAGCTTCTTCTTGGAGGGACCTAGATGACCTGGAGGTGCATAAGGATGCCAGGTGTGCAGTGAACAAGATAAACAACAGTGCAGACGCCCTATATCCGTCCTGGGAACCCAATTCCTGCAGTTCTGCCGATTTTGACGCCTGGTGGAAGGCTCGATTTTGAAATCTGCCTGCTTCCAGTACTGCACTGGCAGTGCTTTTTGATGGCTGGGCCGTTCGTACAGGAGAGGAGACTCACAAGTTTATGGTGCAGACCATAAAGGACATCAATGCCCAAGTTCTGGAAGGTAGTGTCTCAATTCTGTCTGTTCTGTTTATTCTTTTTGTAATGGTGATATCTAACACTTTGTTCTGTCTGCAACAGATCCGTCTTTGACACAGAATGTTGGTGGTCAGTTTGCCCAGGCTGGAGAAGTGTTTGGTAAATTTTCTATCCTTATGTTCCTTCTACCTTTTCCTGCTGGATTGATTTATGAAATTGTCATTTCTTGTGCAGTTACTTTTGTCATAACTGCTGGGGACCTGGAGCTTCCTTCTGGAGAGGAAGAAGAAGAAGAAGATCAAGCAGAACAGACTCCCGTTGAGGCCACTCCTTCTGTCAGAAGGAAAAGAAAGGAAACTGCTCAACCTGCGACTTCAGGTGAATTATTATTATTATTATTATAGAGAGCTTTCTAAGAGCAATGTCAATGGAGGTTTGATTGTGGATGAAAAGTTTGGTGGCAAATGGGTATTTATAATGCCTTGGTTTTCCAACGGTTATCAACGTCAAAAGTCTCTCAAAATTGATTAGGGTAAACATCAATTTAATTCAGACAACATAAATTGCTACAATAAAGTATAAAGTTGAAACATCTAGAGAAAAGTAAAGTCGTAGGAATTTCGATTCACTTATCCTCCACCAATTGAAGGCCAAGGAATCGAGGGGGCAATGTTTGGATGTGGTCTTAATTCCAAACCAAGTCAAGGTGGTCTCAATTCCAAGCCAAGTCAAGGAGACCCAATCTCAAACCAAGTCAAGTGGAAACCCAACTTCCAAGGGCCTAGCCAAATAAAGATATTGTTAATTATAATAGCAATAACTAAATAATAAATAAATTGAATGACAAAACCCACAAGCTTGACTTGGGGTCAACCAAGGGGTTCAGAAGGATGTAGGATTCTTACCAGCCAAGTATGAGACCCAAAAAAATTAGCCGGGTCGAGCACTTAATCATCCAAGTCGAGCTCTTGGTCAGCCAAATCGGAACTTCATAGCAACGAAATTTGGTTTCCATAGTAGCTTTTGCGGTTGATTTTTCTTGAGCTTGTCAGCCGGAGTCTCTCCAGCAAGATCAGAGGTCTTCCATGAGTTGTTTAAGGCTTGATTCCAGAAGAATTTTGGGGCAGTAGATGCAATAGTCAGGAGGTTTCCTTCAACAACAATGGCAGTTGGAATAGTGAAAGGAAAATGGTTCATATGAGCTGAGTTTTTACCAAAATCTCAACTGCTAGTTCCACGCTGTTGAGTTTCCATGAGTGTTCTTGACTGGATTTTTGGATAGCTAGAGTTTTGGGCATAGTTAAGAATTTTAAAACAATGCAGATAAAAATAAAGATATTGTTGATAAAAAAAAAGGCTATTTATCGCAAATGGTCCCTAAAGTTTACAAAATTATCACATTTCGTCCCTAATGTTTTTTTGTAAAACTAAGGGCTCGTTTGTTACACATGACTGTTTTGGCATGGACTATGCTTAAGGATTGTCTTGGCTTGGCTTGGCTTAGTCTAAGTTGAATAACACTTATCCTGTGTTTGGTGTATGCTTGGATTAGGACTAGATTTTGTTATTTTTTCAAAACAATCTATATATATGTATATATGTATTTAATAATATATATGTATATATACATACATATAATACATACATATAATATATATATAACATATATGTGTATATACATGTATATATGTATATTATAATAATATTATATATTATAAATAATATAAACATATATATATATATGTGTGTGTGTGTGTGTATATAGGTGTATATATGTATATTATAATATACATGGGTATAATACATATACATATATATATGTATGTATATTATAATTCATACATGGGTATAATATATATACACATATATATATATATATATTACATATATACATGTATGCTATTATTATAATATTAATATGTATATGTGTATATGGGTATATTATAATAACAATATACATGTATATATCTATATGAATATTATATATTATATATGTATATATGTGTTTATATATATATATATATATATATATATATATATATATACAGAGAGTTTCCATTGAGGGATCCCTCAAATAAGCTTATTTGAGGGACACTCCTTGTAGGGCCCACTCCGGATTGTATTTCACTAATCCAAACCGTCTATTTTGTAGATACTCATTCAAAGATCATCTCTACAAAAAATCACTTAAATCTGATATCATTTGACTATTCAATTGAGTTATTGAAAATTTAGTACTTTCTAAAAGCACCGTGTTCATTGATTTTGTAGGACACAATTGGATGTCGAAAAGGTGTCCGATTTGTCTAATTTTTTGTAAAGATGATCTATGAATGAATATCTAAAAAGTAGATGGTTTGGATCATTAAAAAAACGATTGTAGGATACTCTAAAGGGCGTCCCTCAAATAAAATTATTTGAGGGATCCCTCAATAGAAGGGGACTGTATATATATATGTGTGTGTGTAGATATGTACATTATAGTATATGTGTATGTAAGTATAATATAAGAATAATAATAATAATAATAATATAATAGTAGTAATATATGTTATTAGTATTACAATATAATATATGTGTGGTAACCAAATTAAATCAAAACCCTAGGTCAAATAATTCATTCCATTTGGGGATTATTTGACCTAATTGAGAGTTACTCAATTTAATCAGGGATTACCTAATTAAATTGAACGTTACCTAATTGGGTTGAGAATTGATTTGATTAATTACCAAGATTCCCAATTAAATGTGGAGTTACCTAATTGAATTAGGATTTGATTTGATACCTACCACAATTAGGGATTTGATTTACCCTAATAAATCAAATCCCTAATTAGTCAAATCAAATCCAAAAAAGAGAGGAATAATTCCCTTATATCTACGGAATTATTCTTCTGAAACCCTAGCCTCCAAGACCATTATAAAAGCATAGCCACACACAAGGGTTGAGGTACGTCTGAAATCCCTACTAAAATTCTGCACAAAATTCCTCTCAAACTCTAGCCTCCTCCTCCTCCTCCTCTCTCTCTCTCTCTCTCTCTCTCTCTTTTACATAAGGCTCTGGCTGCCGGTTTACACCATAAACACATCTCCGTACCCTATTAGCTATTATTTTCTATGCGATTCAATTGAACTAATTTAGGCATCGGAGGGCCTTTGGCCAACACCCCCCGGGTGTGGTCCTCTTATTGGTTCTATTTTGCAGGGAGAAGGAGGCGGCGAAGAAGAAAGGAGAATCTTTCCAATCGAATATTGTCGTGGGGAAATTTGTACACTCAAATTGGTGTTTTCATTGAGAGCATGAGTTATACTCAACGCGTGCTCAAGGAATCTGTTCCTCATATTTTCCAATCCACCGAAACCTTCCAAATAATCATGGTTGGAAGCATGAAGACGAGAGGCAAACCCGCCGCGATGGCTAAATCCGCGACGGCCCAAAGCCACTTCGCCCACGATCCAGCGATCGACATGGTGGCACCACTACCTCTCACCACCGCACCGGCCACCGCCGCTGAACATGGTGGAACCTCCTATCAAGGTGGGCTTGTTACCACCGCCGACTTAGGCCCGGTCTTGGAGCAACTTCAAGTGTTCCCTCCATTGCCTCCACGCTTGACACATGCTCCCGCGCACACCTCCAATTAAACCCTAGCCCGTGTGAAATTGGGCTCCACACACTTCTCTCCTCCCGATCCACGAAGTCAAGTAGACCTTAGTCTGAGAGTTGACCAGTTAGCTCAGAGAATTCGACCAAAGCGGTCTGATGAGGCAACTCTTCCACCAAATCAGCTTGGCTCAAAACCTTGGCCTTAGACAACCAGGTGAAGAGAGAAGGATGGACGGACGCACCGGCATGCAGATCAACGGGTACCTAGCAGGTCCAGCAGGAGTGGGCAGACAAGGTGAAGAACAACAACTTGATCGGCCTGCCGACATGTCACAAGCATCTGCGAGCCCCACTCAGAGCAGATTGAGTTTGAGGAACAACATGCGCAAGATGCTAGGCCCACGACTTGACATCCACGCCCATTTGGGCTTGCAGGGAAATGTACTTCAAAGGCTAGGCTCCCAGGGAGGTCAGCAAGACAACCATCGCAACGAGGATCGTGAAGAAATACGCTCAGCTGTCCACTCACAGAGGAGCATTCACGAGAGGCTAGGTCCCCAGGATGGTCAACCGGATAATCCTCACAATGAGGACCACGAGGAAAGGCGCTCCGTTGCTCACTCTCGAAGAGACGGTTCTCGTCGACAAGCTACGGAGAATCTCTCGCAAGCGTAGTCCACCAACACGCCGCCTAGGCAGCGCAGACGAGAAGGTCGACCCTCGCAGACCCACGAGGAAGTCAATCAGTGTCGCCAACGAGACCGACCAGCAATGTGTGTAGAGGACGTAAAGAAGCTTGTGAATGATCGACTTCGAGACTTGAAGACCGGCGGGAATTTCGAAGATGTACTACGTAAGGAGATCAACCAGGCAAACGCCACACCTTTCACGGCTGAAATCGAGCAGGCTGCTCCCCCGAAGCGGTTCTCAACGCCTTCGTTTACCCACTTCAAAGGGGATTCCGATCTCGAGAGCCATCTAAAACACTTCAAAAGTGTCATGATCCTCCACAACGTCGACGACGCGCTGATGTGCAAGGTATTTGTAATGACCTTGCGAGGGGTAGCCCAAGATTGGTTCCACACCCTACCATCCGGGTCGATCAGCAGCTTCAAGGAGTTGGCTTACGTCTTCACCAAAGAGTACACCTCTTACCGGGCGATCAAGAAGAACCCTGACCACCTGTACAACATGCGCAAGAAGTCCGACGAATCTCTTCGAGATTATATCAAGAGATTCAAAGCAGAAAAGGCCAACATTGTAGGATGTGAGGACCGGATCGCGTCATCTGCCTTCAAGAAAGGTCTTCCAGCTAAACATGACTTGTACCGCGAGCTGACTATCACTCCCAGTCAGACTCTGGCAGAGGTCTACGCGACTGCGGAACGCTACGCGCTCTGGGATGACGATCGAATCGCCGCAAAGAAGTCTACAAAGTAGGAAGACCGGTCGACTAGACGGGCACGCCAAAGAAGCGATGAATTTAGCAACAAGAGTAAGGACAAGCGCAGGTCACACCCACAAGGAGACGCTGCGGTAGGAGAGAACTACACCAAGTTCACCATCCCCATATATCAAATCTTAGCCCAAGTGAAAAACAAACCACGGGCACACTACCAACAACTGCTTGGCTTGGAAAGCACACCTTGAAGAACTCATGAGAGAAGGTCACTGCATGGAGTTCATCGCGAAGCGGGCCATCCAGCGAATTGAAGATCGAGACACCGCCAAGGAACCACCAAAGAAGGTCATAAGAATTAACACAATCCTAGCCGACACCAAGAAGTTAGGGCTGACGAGCAAGGATAAGAAGAGGAAGATCAAACAAGCCACTATGATCTTCCAAGTCTCGACTGACCTTCCACCAGGAGAAGACGATCCTGTAATCGGCTTCCAAAAGAAAGATCTGATTGGCCTCGACATGCCACATAATGATGCCCTTGTCATCAGCATTCAAATCGCCCAGGCGATGGTCGACCGAATCCATGCAGACGAGGGCAGCGCAGCCAATATCATGTAGCTGGCTGTCATCTAGCAGATAGGCTTGAAGGCAAAAATCAACAAATAAGCCAGATCGATGACCGGCTTTAATGGTGCAACAACGGTTACTGTGGGCACGATAGATCTCGATGTCTACTCCCCACCTGTTGTCTGCTTGCAAACATTCATGGTCATTGATGAGGTCTCACCTTACAACGGCATTCTGGGCAGGGTATGGATTGGCAAGATCAACGCCATCACCTCTGCCACCCATCAGAAAATACGATACCCAATCCCTGGGGGCAGTGTCGACCAAATCAACAGCGATCAGACAATGGCGAGGAAATGCTCCGCCTAAGGGCTGAAGAAAAGCAAACAAGCACAATTCCTCCCTGTGAGCCAAGCAGATCTGAAGAAGGTTGAACAACCGAATCTTGCTCTCTTATAGCAATCAAAGCGTCAGGACCAAGCCGAGGAAATCTGTCCAGAGGTCTTTCCTGAAGAAGGATGAAAACTCGAGGAAGACATTGAGTTAATACCCTTGGATCCTGACCAGCCAGACAGGAAAGCGTGGATCGGCTCGCGCCTAAGCCCAGACGAGAAGGTGGAGCTTACCACCTTCCTCCAGAACAACAAAGATATGTTTACATGGTCGCCGTCAGACATGCCTGGCATCGACCCTGAAAATCATCTGTCACCGACTCCACGTCAACCCTGCCTGCAAGCCAGTAGCGCAGAAGAGACGCAACTTTGCACCCGAGCGAGTCGCTATCATCAAAGCCGAGATTGACAAACTCCTAGCTGCGGACTTCATTGAAGAAGTCTCCTACTCAGAGTGGCATGCCAACATTGTTCTGGTGGCAAAAGAAAACTTCCCATTGCCGAGAATCGACCAACTCGTGGATTCCACTTATGGCAATCAGCTACTCAGCTTCATGGACGCCTACTCCAGCTACAATCAAATTTGGATTCATGAGGATGATAAGGCGAAAACTTCTTTCATCATCGAGAAAGGGACCTACTGCTACAAGGTCATGCCTTTTGGGCTAAAGAACGCCGGAGCAACCTATCAAAGGCTCGTGAATAAAATCTTCAAGGAGCAGATCAGCAAAACTATGGAAGTATGGATGACATGCTGGTCAAGGCCCCAAATCGTGCAGATCACATCAAAAACCTTGCCGAGGCATTTAGCCTGCTCCACCGGCATCGCATGAAATTGAATCCAAGTAAATGCACGTTTGGTGTATCCTCTGGCCGATTCCTGGGATACCTAGTCATGCAACGAGGTATTCAGGCACACCCACGTCAAATCAAAGCCATTCTCGAGATGAATTCGCTCTCCACGGTGAATGAGATACAAAGTCTGACGGGTAGAGCAGCGACCCTTAACTGATTCCTCTCGAGATCAACCGGCAAGTGCAGACCATTCTTCAAAGCTTTGAAGAAAGGACAAAGAGACAAATGGGATGAAGAGTGCGAAGTAGCTTTCCAGAATCTGAAGACTTACCTCACTTCACCTCCCCTGCTATCAAAGCTTATTCCTGGTGAAGACTTGTTCGTGTACCTGGCAGTGTCCAACTTAGCCGTTAGCTCAGGTCTCATTCGAGAATAGCTGGGGGCCCAACATCCGGTAGAAACTCGATGCAGGTCTCATCCGAGAAAAGCTCTCCTCGATGCAGAAACTCGCTACCCGAAATTGGAGAAGCTCATTTTGGCCTTTGTAGTTTTCGCGAGAAAGCTACGATCCTACTACCAAGCTCATCGAGTCATCGTCATGACCGACTTTCCTTTGAGATCAATCCTCCACAGCCCTGACGCTTTTCAGCGACTCATGAAGTGGGCTATAGAGCTAAGCCAATATGACCTCATCTACCGGCCAAAAGCTGCAATAAAAGCCCAGGCTTTAGCAGACATCATAATAGAGTTCAGCCTATCGGCCGAAGAAGATAAATTGGTCAACCAAAAGAAGGAAAGTTCAAAAGCAGACGAGACCTCCGCTGAACCTAGCCAACCCAGAGACATGTGGCAATTGCGGGTAGATGGAGCGTCAAACCAAAAAGGAGCTAGAGCAGGTGTCGTCATCATCACCCCGGATGGAACCTTGTTGGAGCAAGCTATCACGCTTGGCTTCCCAGCCTTGAACAATGAGGCAGAATACGAGGCATTGCTCGCCGGCCTGTGCTTGGCAAAAGAACTCGCAATAAAAAAGCTAGCCATCTACTTATATTCCCAACAAATCACGAATCAAGTGTCAGGAGAATACATGGCGAAGCATCCAAGGATGATCTTGTACCTTGACAAAGTCTAGGAGTTGTTAAAGGCGTTTTCTACCTTCACCATCCAACAAATGCCCCCGGGCAGCGAACGCGCATGCAAATGCTTCATCCCGGTCGAACACCTTGACCGACCAAGCATTGAAGAAATAGAGCCAATCGACATAATGCAAATTGACACATGTCTCTGGGTTACCGACAATCGCTAGTTACCGACAACGACTCACAATTCATTGGCATGCAGATCACCGCAAAACAGTCGCTCATAAGCAGCGTCCTAAGGGAGATGCAGGGTGCGCCAGGAATTTCCTAAGGGAAGTATCCAGGTTCCTATCCGTTTCCTAAGGGATGCAGGATAGATACGCAGTTGCTTATAAGCAGCGTCATAAGGGAGACGCAGGGTGACAACCAAAGCGTCCTTCGGGAGACGCAGCTCGTAAAAAACGTCCTAAGAGAGACGCAGGGTGCGCCATAAATTTCTTAAAAGGAGGTCTCCATGCCTTCTGAGGGAAGTATCCAGATTCCTATTCGTTTCCTAAGGGAGGCAGGATAGTAACGCAGTTGCCCATAAGCAGCGTCCTTCGGGAGACGCAGGGCGACGACCAAGGCATCCTAAGGGATGTGCAGAACACGCCCGGAGCCTCTTGAGGGGGCCCCTGGCACTCGCCAACTTTCTAAGGGAAACCATCCTAAGGGATGTGCAGGACACGCTCGGAGCCTCTTAATGGGGGCCCTGGCACTTGGCAACTTCCTAAGGGAAACCATCCTAAGGGATGTGCAGAACACGCCTGGAGCCTCTTAAGGGGGGCCCTGACACTCGCCAACTTCCTAAGGGAAACCATCTTAAGGGATGTGTAGGACACGCCCGGAGCCTCTTAAGGGGGCCTTGGCACTCGTCAACTTCCTAAGGGAAACCATCCTAAGGGATGTGCAGAACACGCTCAGAGTCCCTCAAGGTGGACCCTGGCACTCGCCAACTTCCTAAGGGAAAAACATCCTACGGGATATGCAGAATACGCTCGGAATCCCTCAATAGGGACCCTGTCACTCATAAATCTCCGAAGAAAATGTGCAATCAAGACACAGGCTGGTTACTCAAGTAGTTCACAAATCAATACGCAAATTGAAGTGAAAAATAAACTAAAATTTCCATAACAATCTAACCAATCGGCCAAAGTTCAACAAAGAGAAGATGGTCAAATAAGACAAATTATTCTAAGCAAGAAAGCAAACTACAAAAGCTGAAAAGAAACAAAGAAGTCTTCATCTACTCTGGGACGCCAGCAGGAGACCTCTGAGCTGCAGCCTCTTCGGCCTCCGCCTGATCATCCACACCTTCAGCGGCTCCATTTGCCTGCTTCGCGACATCTGCCATCATCTCATCTACTGCGTCTTCTCCGTCTGCCTGCTCTTCAGTTCCTCCTTCCATAGGGGGTGAGTCGGGACAGAGCGTCTCGATGTCTACGTCGTCAATTGCATACAAGGGAGTAGTCTTATCTGCGCAGTGCAGGTAGCCCAACTTGTACGCATCTATGATGGCTTCAGACTTGGATTTTTCTGTGGACTTGTGGTATGCATGAAATCTAACCAGGAGCTTGTCATAGCTAAGGGAGATGTCAGCATTCTTACGCTCAAGACAAAAGAAGGCATCTTTTCGAGTAACCAAATCAGCGGCAAGAGAGTTGAGCTCGGAATCTTTCTCGGTAGAGGAGCTTTTCAGCTCAGATATCATCGCCCTCAAATCAGACGTCTTCTTCTCATAACGGGCCTACTCGGCAGAAAACTGGCTAGCCAATTCAGCGTTCTTCTTGTCCAACTCGCTGAGCTGGGTAGAAGAGGGGGCAACAACAGATGAGTTCTGAATAGTCTCAGTAGTGAAAACCAATCCTTTTTGAATTAGATGAAATGTTGTTTCCCTTTGTTTTTCCAAGGAAAGACTCGAGAAAGTGCCAAGATCGCCGGCCTGACGGATGTGATAAACCAACTCAGCACAGGAAGACGGGTTTGATAGGAAGTTCGTCTTGAGCAGATCAGACACGCATGCATCCCCTGCAAGGCTAGACTTGTTCGCCTTGGGATCAACCGCCGACGCTGGAGAAGAACCTTTAGCCCGGGCAGATGACTCTCTCATCCTCTTTGCCTTCGCCAACCTCATCTCCAAAGGATTCAATGATACTGAATCAACTCCACACTTGACTGCCCATGATTCAACAGCTGGATCATGAGCAGACTTCCCGCTTCGATCTCCATCTTTTGATCGGTGCAAATGACTCGAATTTCGAGGAGGAATGTCTGCATCTCTTTGACGCTCGGCAGACCTAGGTCGGGCACGAGCTGCCTCAGGAAGCACATCATGGTTCTCGAGCGTGTCAGCAAGAGGCTCAGGCAGAACTCCCCGAGCACCGCGCATACCACCAACCTTCGTGCTATCTGTACCCACGAGATGCTTGACCCTGGCAGATGATAATGGCGCAGACCCCACTTGAGTCTTCTTAGCAGAATGGAGCCTTGGCTTCTTCCTCGATGGAGACCCATTCTTTGTTTGCGAAGAAGTAGCTTTACCCCAAGAAAGATTTGGCAGCAGCCTTTCTCTTTGGGGGAGATTCAGCGAAACACTCTTCCTGTCCGGCAAGCAGATCGTCAGGATCCGGGCCATTCTGCTTTCACCTTTTGACATCCTTGGTAGGGGGCAAACCACCGTCTACCTCTCGGTACTCGCTCAACAGCCAACGCCACTCGCGAAACTTTAAAGAGATGTTCAAAGCACGGCGGACCTTAGCCATGTCCGGTCTAAGCTCCAATTGCTTGCTGATGTCACTCACTATAAGCAAAAGACAGAAGTTAGTCAGCCGCACTTCAAGAAATTCAAATAAAAAGAAATAGCTCTCACTTGAGTCTTCTCAGTCCTTGGCTTTTTCCTCAACGGGGATGCATCTTTCTCCAGCGAATTCACAGCTTCATTTATTGAAGACTTGACATTAGCCTTCCTTTTTTAAGGGGAGTCTGGCAGAACACTCCTCTTGCCCAACCAGCAGATCATCCAAGTCTGGACCATTATGCTTCCATCTCTCAATATCCTGACCAGGCCTACGATGATAGGCAGCAGCTGGTCCATCTACGCGTACCTGCCCCACCACAACTGCCGCCCACTGCCAACCGTCGCATGTCACGATGACAACTAGCCGGATTTCCCCCAGCTAACCTTCGCCGCAAAAGAGAAGAAAAGACGAAGAAAAAGAAATATACGTGCTCGACTTACTTTGGGATGCACGACGACTCATCTCTTGGACAAGCAGTACAAATTCTCTAAGATCTCTCTCAAGCTAGAAAGTAGAGAAGTTAAGTTTTCGATGTGAAGAAGAGTGAAGAGAAGCCCTGCATTTACACAGGTTGGGCATCATAGGTCAAGAGAAATCGCAAGCCTATTCCTACTGGGAACCCAACTCCAAGAACAGTCAAAGGCTCACTCCAATTGGGAACCCAATCTGCAAAAGGAGTTCAAATCCAAGAAGGAAGCCCAGTTACAGTTGGACAACCCAACAGATAATTCACATCTCCTACATGCCATCGCGCGCCATGCAGAAGCTGGGGGGCATTTGTGGTAACCAAATTAAATCAAAACCCTAGTTGGGTTGACCTAATTGGGAATTAATTAACCTGATTGGGAGTTACTCAATTTAATTGGGGATTACCTAATTAAATTGAACGTTACCTAATTGGGTTGAGAATTGATTTGATTAATTACCACGATTCCCAATTAAATGAGGAGTTACCTAATTGAATTAGGATTTGATTTGATACCTACCACAATTAGGGATTTGATTTACCCTAATAAATCAAATCCCTTATTAGTCAAATCAATTCCAAAAAGGGGAGGAATAATTCTCTTCCATCTACGGATTATTCCTCTGAAACCCTAGCCTCCAAGACCATTATAAAAGCTTAGCCACACACAAGGGTTGAGGTACGTCTGAAATCCATACTGAAACTCTGCACAAAATTCCTCTCAAACCCTAGCCACCTCCTTTCTCTCTCTCTCTCTCTCTCTCTCTCTCTCTCTCTCTCTCTCTCTCTCTCTCTCTCTCTCTCTCTCTCTCTCTCTCTCTCTCTTTTACATAAGGCTTCGGCCGCCCAGTTTACACCATAAACACATCTCCGTACCCTATTAGCTATTGTTTTCTAAACGATTCAATTGAACTAATTTAGGCATCGGAGGGCCTTTGGCTAACACCCCCCGGGTGTGGTCCTCTTATTGGTTCTATTTTGCAGGGAGAAGGAGGCGGCGAAGAAGAAAGGGGAATCTTTCCAATCGAATATTCTCGTGGGGAAATTTGTACACTCAATATGCATCTTATACATTGGTGAACATGGAACTAGTTAATCCTCCCTTTGTACATGGGCTTAGTAGTCCCTTCCTAAGGATGTGTTTTTGGTGGGCCCGATATTAGCAATTCCATCTCAAACTAGAATTAAATGAAACAATGGTACTAAATTTAGTCCAAGCCAAGCCTGTGTACAAAACTACCCCTAATAGTTCTTAAGATTACCCTCTACACATAAAAATGGTCCCTGTCGTTAGCTTCCTCCAAATTTTCTGTTAAATTGTTGACGTGGCACGTGTGTGTAGCCCACACATCCAATGGTATAAAGCCACGTGGCTTTAAATAAAATAAAATATATTTTAAATATTTTAAAACTTAAATCCATAAACACAAAAACAAAAATACCTACACCCTCTGTATTCTCTCTGCCAGCACCCTTCCCCTTGGCAGACCCGCCTTTTGCGTCTCTCTCCCTCCTTTTCCTCCCTTCTCTTTCTCTCTCTCCCTCTCCCTGTTTTTAATTCTACAAAGCCAAAGGTTTTGACTTATGCTTTGGCTAAGGCTGCAATGCCAAAGACTATGTGTGATCTTTGGCTGACCCTGTAGAAGGCCTCTACTCTTGGACCTTCACAATGATCACATAATTTTTCTTGCTTTTGATCTTTTTCCTCCGCATCTCCTACTCTATAAAATATTTTTTTCCCTCCAATCTTTGTAGGCATCAACAATCTTTTACTGCCCATGTCCAACACAAGCAGAACCAAAAGGATGGGCAATGTTTGGTTGGATTAGACTGTAAAAATGAAGGAATAGGAGGGAGAGAGAGGCAAAGAGTGTGTTTGTGAGGGGGCAGGAGCAATGCTGGCAGAGGGAGGACGCAGAGGGGATGGTGCATGGTTTTTTTTTTTTTTTTTTTTTTTTTTTTTTTTTTTTTTTTGGTGGGGGGGGGGGGGTTTGAAAATTTGAAAATATTAAATATATTTTATTTTATTTAAAGCCACACGGCTTTATACCATTGGATGTGTGGGCTCCACACATGTGCCACATCAACAATTTAACAGAAAATTTGACGGAAGCCAACGTTAGGGACCATTTTGATATGTAGAAGGTAACCTTAAGGATTATTAGTGTCACAAAAAGACGTTAGGGATGAAATGTGATAATTTTACAAATCTCAGGGACCATTTGTGATAAAAAGCCAATAAAAAAAATGTTGTGACCTTCAATAAAAGTTTTGTGATATCAAGAAGGCTCAGATTGGCCCACACGTCGGTACTTGGTTTTGGTTTGAATAGTTCGCTATGTTATGCTGATGAATTTAGAGAAGGCACTAGCTTTATGGTTTTTACGTGGTTGATAGGCTTTGAAATGGCCTATATATACTTTTGCTATATATAATTTTATTAAAGTTTAAATATTAATATGAATAAACCTTAGTATTGAAAAGTAAGTATCCTTTTGACTCGGGACCAAGAGCAAAGGACTCGTGACCTCAATGTCAGTTTCACAAGGTTAGTGCAATTCATTGGGTTTCCAAACCACTCCAACATTGGTGGACTATTTTAAATCAAGATCCGAGAACTTCGAAAGTTGCAATGTCTCATTAGATGTTAAGGACAAGTCTTGAAGGTCCAAGCCCATTCCATGGATTCGAACCCAAGATTTATGGAGGATTGCATGCATCTAATGGAAGCCACATAAGGAAAGCAATAAGAGAAATTGACGTCAATATAGAACATTCCTAAGGATGAGAGAACCAAATAATCAGATTTGCAATCCGATGATCTCATTCAAATCAATTCCGTGGATTTAAGAAGCCACACAAGAAAAGATTTTTAATAAAGTTGACCATCATGCCATTTAATGGCCAGCCCATGGGTTGACGGATACCTCTATATATACCTCATCATATGAAGGAAGAAATGACCCCAACATCAGACACAAAAACCTACTTTTTGTCTTTCACTTTTCTATCCCTACATTAGATTTTTATTTTCCAAGCAAGTATACTAGATCAGTCTTCGCTTTTGTTAGTGTAAGTTTAATTTCTTACATTTTTCGTTACGTTGTTTTAAGATTCAAGTTTATTACTTTACTTTTAATTGTTATCGAATTCACTTTAAATTTAATTAAATTTCTTGCATTTTTCATTACGTTGTCTTAAATTTACATTTATTTTTGCTTCGATCTTATTTTTACATTTACTTTCTTGTTATTTAGTTTAATCACCTTTTAATTTAATTTGCGTCATTATCATTAAATCCCAAAAAATACTAAAGATACCCATATGAAACCTAAGGGAAAGAACCTAGGCCAAGATGAGGTTCCTTGCTTGGCCGATTAATCGGCTGGTTAGAAGTTAGAAGTGTGAACACAACAATCTAACTTTTTCCATCCAACTAGTGACTTGGTGGTGGCATGCCCACGCCATCTAAGAGAAGAATGACTAAAAGTTCCTTCCGTTGGCCACCTTAGCTGAAAAGAGGGAAGGACTTGGTGGTGGCATGCCATTCTATCGAGAGATCACTCATGTACGTATTTAAGGGATGGGAGCTCACTTTATATTGTATTTTAATGATCCAAACCGCATATTTTTCAAGTCTTCATTCATAGATCGTATTTGAGAGAAATTATACAAATTGCATTATATATATTTGGTTCTAACTCCATTGTAGACTATTTTGTTAGGATCTAAAAATTTAGTTGTGATAATATTAGTATACTAAGAATGCTTTCATCTTAATTTTTGCAGTACCAATGAACAGTGACAAGTCTCGAACTGTCATTATTATTGTTGTGCCAATCCTTGTTTCTCTGGTGTTAATTATATTAATCTGAATTTATGTAAGAGTAAGGAAGACATAGGGAAAACTTGAGTGTACTTTAATTTTATTCCATTCTATATGCAAAAGCGTATATAATTATATATATATATATATATTTACAAGCGTGTAATTATAAACATGTGAATAACTTCTTTAATTAATCCTTGTTAATTAAATTGTTCCTTATTAGGCAGCGACGCAGATGAAATTGGATTAGAAGAGTCCTTGCAATTCGACTTTGCCACCATTAGGCCTTCTCCAACTCATTTTGAGCTAAACCCAAATTTTTCCCCTCTAAAAAGTAACTATTTGGGTTTTCCTCGAACTCAAACTGTTTTTTCCCCCAACCCTCCAGACTCAAATTTTAAGTCCACAACTTTATTGAATTGTTTAAGAACGGTTTAAGTCTAATTATTTTTTTATGGATAACTTTTCTTCATTTAATCTTTTTAAATAACTTCATAATTTAATTTTTTGAACAATTTGACCTAAAAAAAATGAAATTCCACAAATATAATTTTATTCCAAAAGGATGAAAGGAGATTGATGAAATTGATAAAGGAAAAATAAATTAAGAAATAGAAACAAAATATTTTTGGTAGATTATTTGAGAAATGGGTAGGTATTTATAGAGTTTGGAGTGATTTTTGGGGTTTGATCTGATTTAGATTAATTTTAAATATTATTTTGACCGTTAGATTTAAATTTCAGTCGTTGGAATTTTTTATTATTTTTTATACTGTTAAAATAGCATAGATTTCATCTGGATCGTTGATTTGGGTACTATTGGAAAAAAAGAAAAAAAAAAAAAAAAAAAAAAAAAAGGGTGTTGTTTAAATTGTGCTGTTGGATTCTAACAACAACCTCGCCAGCACGCAACACATGGCCAGATAAGATCTGCAGCAGTTGCAGCACGGGTCCTAGTCACACCTCCTTGCACATGGCCTGCATTAGCCTTGAGTGGGCTCCACCGAAAAAAATTCTAGTCCAGGCAATAGGTGGACTGGTATTTGGCCCAAAGTTTGGGTTTTTCCAAATTTTAGCCCCTTAATTTCTGTCATGTTTTTATTAATTTTTCTTCTTTTTTTCTTTTTATTTTTTTATTCAAGGTAGACTTTTCAATGGAGAAGAGATAGGAGTAAAAAGACTCTCTGCAAATTCCTGGACAAGGAGATGTAGAATTTAAAAATGAGTTATTGTTAGTGGCCAAGCTTCAACCTCGTAATTTAGTTAGGCTCCAGAGTTTTTGCTTGGAAGGAAATGAAAGGCTTCTTATCTATGAATTTGTCCCTAACGCAAGTCTTGATCACATCCTATTTGGTATGGTTGGAATTCTGCATTTTTCTTTTCAACTATGAAAACTTAACATTAAATTATGACATTAAATAAACATTATGACTCATCGAGTCTTGTTTTTCCATAAATATGTAGACCCAGTCAAGCGTAGGGCTCGTCAATGGGCCGGGCCGGGCTAGCCCGGCCCAAATTTAACGGGCTTGGGCCGGGCCGGGCCGGGCTTTAAAGAGGAGAGAGAAAATATCGGGCCGGGCCGGGCCGGGTTTTTTTAGAAAATTCAAAGCCCAAGCCCGACCCATAGGTCGGGCTTGAGAAAGCCCATTGGGTCGGGCTGGGCTAAGCCCAACGGGCCGGGCCGAAACGGGCCTACTTCATTTGAAAAAAATCATAAACTTAATCATAAGGACATTTTAGTCTAAATTTGAGATTAAACTCACTTAATTCCAATATTTTCACATCAAACCAAATTCATAAAATACCCAATAAAGTCACACAACTTAATAAGATTTTCCACAAAAATAATAAAACAAAGTATTATTTTTGAGGTTATTACATAATTAGACCGTAATACGTTTTAAGAAATAATTTTAAAAAGTAATAAGTATCAAAAAGATATTTTTTTTAAAGGATGGTATAAATAAATATGTAAATGTTTGGTGATGTGTTCAAGAAAAACATGATTATATTTGGTGGTAGTAGTACGATTATGTTTCGTGATATGATTATATTTAGTGATATGATATATTGTTCATCTTATTTATATATATATATATATAATTGTTGTATTAATAATTAACACAAATTAATGTGCTAATCATCCAATTATAAATTAGGAATGAGTAAAGAAAAGTAAATGAAATGAAACAAATTATATATGTGATTTAAGTGATATAATCCTAATCCTAAACTCTTATTTATACATAATTATATATGTATGCGGGCCTAACGGGCCGGGCTTTTGTGGGTGGGCCGGGCCGGGCCTTCTTGGGCTTAATCGGGCCGGGCCTATGGGTCGGGCCGGGCTTCAGACACCCAAGCCCAAGCCTAGCCCGGCCCAAGGCGGGCCGGGCCATCCCAAAGCCCATAACGGGCCGAGCCGGGCTTTTTTCCAATGGGCCGGGCGGGCCCCCATCGGCCCATGAGCCCGCGGGCCAAATGATGAGGCCTAGTCAAGCGCACACAACTGGGTTTGGATATGCACTACAAAGTCATAGTAGGCGTTGCGCGTGGTCTCCTTTATTTTGATATCTATTAAGATGTTATTAGCTTTAATGTCACGATGAATAATTCTAAGGCCAGAATCCTTCAAAAAAGTTTGTACAGCATGGGCAGTTTTCTATTAAGTATGATGTCTATAGTTTTGGTGTGTTGATTTTAGAGATTATAAGTGGGCAGAAAAATAGTTGCTTTCGTCATGGAGAGAATGTGGAGGATCTTTTAAGCTATGTGAGTATTTATATATTAGTGAAATTGAATGCAATGAAAGAAACAAATTTTTATCTCAAATTACTTTATTCTAATTCATAAATGATTGTAGGCATGGAAAAGTTAGAGGAAAGGGACAACTTCAAATCTAATAGATCCCACCACTACTACATTTTACGCTTTGCGCGACGAAGAGGATTTCGTCGCTCAAAGTCACATTTAGTTGCACAAATTTCAGCGCGACAAAAAATTTGTCGCGCACAATCCGTCACGCAAAGAGCGTGAAGAAAGACTTTGCGTGACCAAGTTTCCGCATTAGTCGCGCAAAATTGAGCGACGGGGTTAACCATCATTGCACCAAAGGTTTAGGGACGACATAGTTGTTCGTCGCACAAACCTTTGCGCGACGAAACATTCATTCGTTGCGCAAAATATTTTTGCGAGACGAGTATCTTCGTCGCGCAAGAATAAATATATGGAATTAAAATGTTGTTTTTAGTTTTTTTATTTTGTAAAATGTGAATTTGCGCAACGAAAAACGTTTCGTTGCACAAAATTAATATATATATTATTTAAATTTAATATTACGTTTTTTTTTAAAATTTTGTAACAAAATAAATTGAAGAGAACAAAAAATTATATAAAATAAAATAAATGTGTCACAAGAGAAATGTTTAAAATATAATTATAAAAATAAAAAACTAATCAAATAATGTTCCAAAATCTACTTGGTCGTCAGGCATATGCAGCTCGGAGGTCTGGGGGTCCACAGGGGCAGTGGTCTGGCGGGCATGTTCGGGGTGGACTGGCTCGGAGGTCGACGCATCAAATTGCGGGACTGGAATGCCGGACCGCGCGAGGGACTGCAGAATCACCGACATCTGACCCTGAAGTGCGGCCACCTGTGCTGTCAAAACAGTCACCTGACTGTTTGACTGCACTGATGAACGGGGTCTAGGTTCCCTCCGCCGGGCATTCCCCATCCCTCGACAATATGTCCCCGGCCTCCTCCCGAGAGTCTGATCCAACGTCTCCGTCAAGATCTGAAATCCAGCATCCTGTGGAGGATCTACAGACTTGATCAGAGTCTCGGGAGGAAGTTGGGAGGCGGACTCCTGAAGAACCAACTGGCTCCTCTTCACCATCGTCGTCTGTTTAACATAACATAAAATATAAATTAAAACATGCATATAATTGAATGCGTAACATAAGAATTAAAATTAAATAATACTTACATGAAAGGACTCGGCCAACTCATTCCCAGGTCGAACATAAACGTCACCAAAGACGTCGATCTCTGGGAATTTGGACCCCCCTAAATTGAACAAGAGAAAAAAATATTAGTATGAAAAAAATAAATTAATAATAATGACATATTAAAAAATAAATATAAATTATTTTATTATTACCAGCCGCCGTGCATCTATCCTATATGAGAAGGGCCTGGAACCGGAATGGTAGAGAAGAGTCTTCTTCTTCCTATTGCCCTTATTGACTTGGGCTTTATTATGTTATACAATAAAACGTATTAGTTGAAATATAAAAAATTAAATAATAATGAAATTTAAAAATTAAATAAACATTAGTAAGAAATATGTAATAATTAAACAAATTTTATTTAAAAAAATACCACATAATCGGGCGCCTGAAAATGAGTGCAGAGCCATGCCCAACGATCCTCTCGCCCCTCAAGTTCCTTCAGGCAACCCTCATGAAAAGCAACTTGCGGATCATCAAACGCCTAAAAATGGTGGTGCAAGTCGCTCTTCCACTACTTGTACCTCTCAGCGAAGAGTCTGTTGACGTATGCCAACGACTCGTCGTCGAGGTCCTCTAAGTTGTAGTTCGTCTGCAATAAATTAATTATATACATTAAGTAATATAAATATATAAAGTTTGAAAGAAAAATAATTAAAAGGTAGGATACATACCAACAACTGGCCGCGAACCTCCATCTTGATTTTGTCAGGCATGACCTTCCAAGACTTTCATTGCATCGGGCAATGGGTTCGAACGACGTGGCCAATGTCGTGGGCCAAGGAGCTATGCAACTCTGCCGTCGGTGTAGCCCGATGGCGCTTGTCGTATCCGATGCTGATACGACTGTTGGTCACCCGGGTGACTTTCGTCGTCTTTAGCTACCGACACGGCCCTCGGGTGTTCTTCTTGGCTGCAAAGAAATATGACATTAATGTTAAATAAATAACAAATTTAACTATAAAATTCACAATACAAAAAATAAAAAAAAGAACTAGAGTTAAAGGAAATCTATACCTGGTTGTGACCCCGAGGCACCAGTACCGTCGGTTAATGTGGTGTCGGTGGTGCTGGCTGGCCGGTGCCGTCGCCTAGCGCTAACAGGCTGCGCCACTGATGAAGCTGATGACGTAGGCGCCTGGAACCCCCCGGGACCAACTGGCATGTGGTCCATCAGTGTCGGGCTGAGCCGGGAGCTCCGAATTCGGTGCAGTCGTCACCTACCTATGACGTCTAATCAGGTCTTACATCTGCACAATTTCATTAATACACATACAAATGAATCAAATTTACGAATATATAAGTGTAAGTACATACAATTTCATTAAGAATTTTAACTAATTAATTAAAAGCATAGCCTGACCTAGGGTTTGCGATTTCGGAGTATCCGGGACTCCGATCCACGATCCGTCGAATCCTGCACGATCCTAGAAATACAAGGTACAACATATCAAACCTGGAAATCGCACAATAGGCGAAATCTGTTCGAGACTGAAACGGTAACCAAATTCAAATCCGAGCACACCTACGCTCTTGTGATAAATAAGGGATTGCATTGAGACCCAATGCCCCACTGCCACAGTCTCCCACGAAAAATAGTCCGGAAAACATACCTCAGGTGTTGAATTGGTGGCCGTAGGAGAGAGAACGAGGCCGGCGAAAAAATTTGTCAAACCTATCAATTTTCGGTGGCAGGCTCGACAGTGACGGCAATGGAAGGTCTGGGCTTTGAAGGTTGTGGCGGCCCGGTCCTTTTCCCGGCGGGGCAGTGAGCTGAGGTGATGGTGGAGAGAGAGACAGTTTAGGGCAGAGAGAGGAAGTGAGGAAGAAAGGAGGCTATCGCGATTTTTCTGAAAATTTAACGGATCTTGCGCGACGAAGAACACAATGCGTCGCGCAAGGTATGTTTAATAAACCTTGCGTGACGGAAAAAAAATAATGACGTCGCGCAAAGTAGTTTTCCGCCCAAATTTTCATTACATTGCGCGACGAATAAGAAAAACAGTCGCTCAAGGTGCTTATTCCGCCAAAAATTTTGTCACCTTCCGCGACGAGTGGACAAAACCGTCGCGCAAGGTTGTTATTCTTCTAGAAATTTTTGGGTTTAGGGTTTAGTGAAGGGTCTGATCATTTTGCGTGACGAAAAGACTCTATCGTTGCGCAAGATTGTGTCAAACCCTAAACCCTAAACCCTAAACCCTAACCCTAAACCCTAAATCCTAAATTAATAAACCTTGCGCGACGTAGAAGACATTGTGCGTTGCGCAAACCTCTGGCAAAGTAATATTTTAAATTCAAATTTAATTTAATTTTTTTATACATTCTTATACATATTATAAATTTTTTTTATACATTCTTATGGTGTTTATTATTTTTTAATAGAGTATATTATTTTTAAAAAAATAAAAATGCCCAGAAAAATATACTCTATTGAAAAATAATAAACACCATAAGAATGTTTTAAATTTTTTTGATACAAGGAAAAATACTCTAGTTCAATTTGCTAGCTGTGCCCAGTTAGATTTCTCATAAATGCCCAGTTCACCTTTAGCCTTCCCTTTACCAAAACTTAGACCATTAAAAACTTGGATAAAACCAAAAGAAATGCAAAACCAAAATTGGGCAAGAGTCTTAATATATGCCTTAAAAATTTAAAATTAAAAAATTAAAAAAGTAAAAAATTAAGGGTTTTTAAAAAAAAATAAGGCCGTGCACTTGTATGACTTAATATATGCCTTATCCTTTTCCTTAAAAAAAAATATACTCTATTAAAAAATAATAAACACCATAAGAATGTTTTAAATTTTTTTTATACAAGGAAAAATACTCTATTAAAATAATAAACACCTTTGTACAAAGAAAATCACAATGATCAAACTTTAATTAACAAATCAACTACCAATAATAAAAGTGATCTCAAGTTCAAGTTATAAAACGAAGGGTTAATACTTTTTTTAGTTATTTTCAGACTCCAATCTCACTCACATGATCTTATCTCATCTCAAAGGCTTCTCTTCCTTGAACACGCAGCCTCACTCAACCCACTTGAACCCAAGAGTAACCACCATTGATTTGAACCACTACAACCTCCACTGCTTCAATCAAACCCATTCTCTCACATCGTAGAAACCTCATCGACTCGATTACGCTTGGATACTCACGTAACTTGATCTAGTAACCGAACCAAATCCAAGTTAATTGAGTTCACCTTTATGTAGACAATTATATTAAACTTATATTTTAAACTTAAATTGTATATCCGTTTTTTAAATATATTCGAATGTCACTTATTATTATTCTAATATACCAATTTTATTTTTATTTTAAAAACGCCTCTTGGAATGTGGATGAATTGTGGGTTAAATCACAAACAGGGTCAACACTTTATTTATGAAGTTGTGATTTATAAATATGTTTTGCGCGACGAACATCTATAATTTCGTAGCGTAAAGAAGTGTTGCACGACGATACTAATACTTCGTCGCGCAAGGTTGTATTTTCACTGGGAAATTATCCCAACTTGCGCGACGTAGAAGTGTTGCGCGACAAAGTATGTCTTTCGTCGCACACCTTGCGTGACGTACAAACTGTAGCGACGTCGCTCAAACCATTCGCTTTCTTGCGCGACGAGGTTTTAAACTATAAATTAAATATCACGATTTCTAGTATATTAGGACAACTTGCGCGACGTGGATGTCCTCATTACGTCGCGCAAACCTCTGGCAATGTTTTTATTTTATTTTTAAAAGTTAATTTTTTATTTTCTTTATTTTAAATAATTATTATAAAAATAACACATGTTACCTTAATGAACTTAAGTTTCATATGAATTACGAAAAAAATTCAAAGATTTCGGTACAATTGAAAAGTTAAATGTTTATATTTTAAATTTGAATTATTATTTATTCTCCGATGTGAGACTTAATTTACATATTATAGTTTGTATAATAGTTTAATGCTTGATTAAATCATTAAATAAGACGGGGTTGTGAGACCTAAGGGCCCGATTCTTGATTTTTTTTCTTTCAATTTTTTTATTCATTCAATTTGAAGATTTTAAACACAAAAAAGAGAAAACCCTAATTCTTATATTCATAAAGACCACTGAAAATCAAATAGACAGATTCAAATATGTTTTCAAATTTAGGTATATATCTAAATTAAAATTTATATATTATATGTTGCAATTTAATTTGTGATTGCAAATTTTGTGTGCTACTTGATTTTAATTTGTCATTGCCATATATTTACACTACCATAATTAAATTACAACAAATTTCATTTACTATGTTTTACATGGGTAGTCGCTAATAAATTGCATTATTCATCATCTGAATTATAATAACCTTCGTTATCCTCACTATCATCACTTTCAGTCTCCTAATCCTCCTCCTCATCACTTTTGTTGTTCGGGCCCACTAGAACTTCATATTGCGGAAGATCACTGAGGTCAATTGTAATTGACTGAATCGGTATTTCGATTGAAGACACTCATTGAAGCTAAAACGGTTCTTGTATAACATTTGTATCTTGAAGTGTTTCTGCATCATTTTCCATGGAAGATTCCAACCGTTGGTCAGTGACGTTGTTGACGTCGTTGTCAGTTGGGTCTAGTTCTGGTATAGCATACACGTTCCTCTGATCCATCTGCTAAGCAACTTTCCAATCGCTTCCGGCTTTTGGGTCATCTAGATACACAATCTGTCTTGCCATGTTTGCCAAAATGTAAGGGTCGTCATCATACCAAGTTCTGTCAATGTTCACTGATAGTAAGCCATGGTCTATTTTAACACTTCCCTGCCTATTTGGGTTTGTATCAAACCATTGACATTTAAACATGATCACTTGGTATCAGTCTTTGTAAAGCAATTGCACGACAGTTGTGAGTTTGCCATATAAATCAATGTCCGTACTTTCGCCTCCACCTAGGACATGGACACCGCTGTTTTGCATACACAACTTGTCATCTTGTGCAGTCCCCAAAAACTTGACGCCGTTAACATGACAACACGAGAATAATTCAGCGCGAATTGGGCCTAACGCCAAGTTATATAACTCTTCATTGTAAGAGGGTAAATTCGATGATTTCAACTTATTCACCTAATATTATACAAAAACATTCACATGTTAGTTTGATAACATTAAATAATACAATATATATATATCAAATACAAAACACTTATAACTTACATATTCCAAAAACCATTGTGGAAACAAATAACGGTGTTTCTTAGCATACAAATGTGATGGATGTTCTCGCTTCATTATCTCTTCATGCTCATCTAAGTATGCCATTATCTCATCACAATTGTTAAGTACGAACCAATGCACTACCTCCATGTCATTTCTGGAAAACGACTCTCCTGTTACAGGATCTCCAAAGGGTCGTGCGCTTTGGGCAAAAACAGAAAGTTTCTCATTCTCAGACCTCTGTCATTATTGCGTTGAGGACGATTGAAAGCCGTGTCCACATCTTTTAAATACATGCCACAGAAAGTAAGCGACTCATATTGAACCCAAGCCTCTATAATTGATCATTCAGGCTTCGCCCTGTTGCGTACAGTTTTTTTCAGCTCTCCGAGAAGCCTGCCAAAAAAAAACGAAAATATAAAAATTAGCGAGCGTGGGATAAGGATGCATAAACAAATGATAAGGATTATATACCTTTCTATTGGATACATCCAGCGATAGTTGATAGGACCAACGAGTAATGCCTCTTCTGGCAAGTGAATCATCACGTGGATCATACTTGTGAAGAAAGTTGGAGGGAATATCATTTCAAACTTGCATAGGACTTGGACAATGTCATGGCGCAATTGATTAATGTCTGTCTTTCGCAATGTTTTTTCCGTCAGTTGGGAAAAAAAATATGGACAACAACATGATTAGTTTCACTAGATCTTCTGGCAAAAGGTGTCGAATACCCACAGGAAGTAGGCGTTGCATAAACACATGGCATTCATGGCTCTTTAGTCCAATGAATTTACCCCCGTCAACATTCATGCAACGCGCGATATTAGAAGCATACCAATCGGGAAACTTTACAGAGGATACAAACTTTAGAAAATCTTTTTTGTCATTCGGTTTCATGGAAAAAAATGCCAGATCCCTTCTAGCTTTATCACCGTCCCTGTTAATCCATAAACCTCTTCGTATGCCCATTCTTTCCAAATTAAGACGAGCTTTGATCGTGTGCTTTGTCTTACCCTCGATATCTAGAATCGTGCCCATCAATGTGTCGAAGAAATTTTTCTCAACATGGATAATGTCGAGATTGTGCCTCAATTTTAGTTTCAACCAATATGGGAGCTCAAAAAATATAGGCTTGTGCGTTTAGTTTAAATGTGTAGAAGGTCTGGTCCGAGTAACTGTTTTCCCGAATGGAGAAAAATCCAAACGGTTAAGCTATTCCAAGATCTCATCACTGAACCATTCTCTAGGTCTGAGGCGATGCTCTGTGTTCCCGTCAAACTCTTTATCATTTTCCCGCCATTCGTGGTCCCATGGCAACCATCTTCGATAACCAAGATAACAAACTTTTCTCGCGTGCCAACCAAAAGTTATATCTTCCTTGCATACAGGGCATGCCATATAACCCTTTGTGCTTCACCCAGAAACTATTACATATGCGGGAAAATCATTCACAGTCCACATAACTGCTGCCTCAAAATGAACATCTTCCTAGTGGATTTATCATACGTGCGCACACCATTTGTTCATAAATCCATGAGCTCATCAACCAACGACCTTAAGTAAACATTGATTGACCTGCCAGGATCCTCAGTTATCAAAACAGTCATCATCATGTATTCTTTTTTTATGCATTTCCAAGGCGGCAAATTATATGGGAATACGAAAATTGGCCAAGTGTTGTGGTGTTGGTTTAGAACCCTGTACGGATTGAATCCGTCAGTGGCAAGTCCCAATATAACATTTCGGGGATCAGCAGCAAACTCAGGGAATGTTTGATCAAACTCTGTCCATGCCTCCCATCTGCAGGATGCCGCATCACATCGTCGTCTACCCGTTTTTTCTTATGCAAGCTCATGTCTGTGGCAGTATGAATCGACATATACAATCGCTGTAGCCTAGGTCTCAGGGGCAAATAACGCATGACTTTTTGTGGGATCTTAGTCGTTCTATTCTGAGATGTCATCTTGAATCTCGACTCTTTGCATATAGGGCATGTATCCAATGTTTCATACTCTTTGTAGAATAACATGCAATTGTTTTTGCAAGCATGAATTTTTTCATAACCCAATCCAAGACCATTCAACACCTTTTGCGCGTATCTATGGTCTTTCGGCAAACAATTGTTCGTCGGAAGCATTCTCTTGAAAACTCCCAAAAAGTAATCGAAACATAGGTTCGACATACTATACTTTATTTTTCTGTGCATTAGCTTCATAATGGCCGTGAGAACGGAAAAGCTATCGCACCCCGGGAATAACTCTTGGTTTGCATTTTTTAACAGTTGTTCATATTGTTCGAACTCAACACTGTCCATTGGGGTAGGCACGTCATCTTCCCCTTCCTGATTGATGGTGGTCGATGCAAATAGAAAAACATCATTTATAATATCCATGACTTGTTCATTAGGATCCACAATAGGTTCAACATTGTCCACCCTTGTGGCATTTAAAGACGAAGCATTGTATAATTGTTCCCCATGAAAGTTCCAAATGCTATATGTCTCAATCATTCCATTCCTTACTAAATGAAATCCAACATTTTCAATTGTCTCCCACAACGTGTTGTTACACCTCCTACGAGGACAATGGATTCTAGTTGCACCCGGGTTGTGTCTACATGCAAACTCAATAAAATCCTCGATTCCATCCAAGTATTCGTCTACGCATCTATTTGGGTTTTGTATTCACCTTCTGCTCATAATTCCTGAAACCATAATCACAACACAACAATCACAACAACTTCATACGAAGTTATAATGTCACCGTATGCCTCCGGTAAGGGCCATATCCCATTCGGGAATGCATAGTCATGTCACGTAACCTACGACTACATGAGATTAGATTTCGACGTTGATGAATTTCGGCAGCATCTCAATACAGTTCTTGAGATGAGCATAGGTATAAATACCTACGTACCACCCCAAGAACGTATCGAGATGACACTGAAATCTCCACAATTGAAACCTAATCTTGTAGCCGTAAATTACGTGACAACACTATGAATTACCAAACTGTCCAAATAATGGGACAACTCAAGAATTAATTGGACCGCAGTCATGCTTTACGCATCCATGCACGAAATCCAACTAATCTCGAATGAGAAACTAAGTGTTACTAAAAAATAATAATAAAAGTACAAAGTTAATTTCAATTAACTTCGTACATCACAACACATTGTGCTACGTCACGCACAATTTAACAACATAATATAAATATAATTTCACAACAAAAAATATAAATATAACAAACTAAGTTCAACATAATGTAATTAATTTAATATAAAATGAATAAAATACCTTCTCAATCGTTCTCCACAATCGCTAATTACAAATATCTATAATGAGAACAAAATTAATAGCGTTAGTATGAATTAACATTAATACTTTTAAACAAATGACAAATAATACTTTGCCAATGAGCGTATTGAATTCCCAGTAGAGGCAGCAGCATAGACAGAGAGAGGTTCCAAATTTTTTTTGCATTCTGCCTCTGCAATGGCAGAATCCAGAGATGTAGACGAAGGATTTTGCATGATGAAACAACATTTTCGTCGCGCAAAACCATTTTTTCGTCGCATAAAATAACTTTTTTCGTCACGCAACCACTTGTCAACATCGGGCTTTTGCACGACGAAATATCCGATTCATCGCGCAAAATCTAAACGGCATCGCGCATATGCAAATTTCTGTTGCACAAGAACGTGCCGACATCAAACTTTACGCGACGAATTGTATTTCTGTTGTGCAAGTATTTGGCACTAAAAAAAAGTTATTGCACGCTTTTCTGTCCACCTTTACGTGACGAAATTTGAAATCCTCGCGCCAGAATATCTTTCGCGACGATCAATATCATCGTGCAAATGTTTGGCGCCAAAAAAAATAAACCCAGGTTTTTCTTCTCAACTTTGCACGATGACTCATTTGTTTGTTGTGCTAAGTTTCTTTGCGCGACCAAAAGTTTCGTTGCTCATGTTTTCGTCTGTTTGCGCGACGAATTTTTGTTTCCATTGCTGGAGTGTATTTTGCGCAACGAATTTGCTTTCGTCGAGCAAAGTATCATCGCGCAAATAGTAAAATGTAGTAGTGCGCACCTTGAAGACTGGTTCAAGAAGTGAAATATTGAGATGCATCCACATTAGATTATTATGTGTGTGCAAGAAAATGTGGCAAATAGGCTAACCATGGCTTCTGTTATTGTGATGCTGAATAGCTACTCCCTTAGTCTCCCTGTACCCTCACAACCACCATTTTTAATGCCCATAACCATTGGATTCGACATGTCTTTGGGATCAGAGGGCAATTCAAGGGTAACAGGATTGGATTGATACAAGAGCAACTCTAACAAAGCACCAGAAAATGAGGCTTCATTAATTACCCAAATTTATCCTCGACGGTGAAAACGAAATTATATTGTGGTGTGTTTACTAATCAGGAATTGGAATTCTCATCAGGAATTGAATTCCACCTATGGAGGATTTTTGCGTTTATTTCACATCAAATAATTGAAAAATAACAGGGGCCCACACGAAATTAGGAATTAAATTCCTGATTTTGGAGGAATTCAATTCTTGGGTGGGAGGTGATATTCTAATTCTTGGAGAATTAACTCATTAGAAATTTATTTTTTTTACCCATTATATATCATCACATAATTTTTAAAATTTCAAATTTGCCATCTATTTTAACCCAATAACGAGGAAATTTTAGAAATTAGTACCACTCCTACCCCAATTCCATATGGTTTAATAAACAACTTCAATAGGAATCTGAAATCTAATTCTCCTTAATCTAACTCCTCCTCAATTCAATTCAATTCCTCATAATCCATTTACGGATTAGTAAAGATGCCATTGATGTAATTTAGGATATCCCTTTGGTTCATTTTTCCTTCAAACTGTGTGGTTTCTTCATTGTTTTAGGTAGGTTCTTAATAAGGCTTGTCAAGTAGAGTTATGGTTATGTTCTTGGCTATAAGTTAACCCATCCATTTTGTAGCTGGCTTCCCCCATGAAATTGGTTTAGGGCCCTAAACATTTCAGTTCTCATTAAAAATTAAATTTAAAAAAATAAATTTAAAAAAGAAAAAAGAAAAAAGAAAAGCAGTCAATTCTGACTATAAGAAACACGGTCAATGGATATTTTTTCACAAAGGCAGGATGCATGCACGTACCCTTTGTTAGGAATTTCTGTTTAATATTCAGTTTAAAATATTTTCAAATTTTATAAATAATTTGTCACCATATTCATTATTGTAATCTCAATTATGGAGGAATGCATTGGTGTTGTATAGGGTTGACCCACATTGTTAACTGGAAGTGGAGAGGAGACTAACTTTTTTTTCTTTTTTTTTCATGAGAAAAAATTTAGAGAGAGAGAGACTACTCCATCTTAGGGTCAAAGCGTACTAAGGTCTCTTTGGGGACTTATAAGAGGAGACTCATTTCAATACGTGGATAGTTAATCAATATTTTGTTTTCAAATGATTGGAAATCTAGACTACACTTTGCATAAAATTAGATGTTTGACGTCCTAAAATTGATCTTTTCCCAATCTCATGAACTTCCTATATATGCTTTAGATTTAGAAGTTGGATCAAAACTACGTACATCACTTTTGCTTGGAATTTTCCTTCCTTTGACCCAGATTACGCGCCACAGCAGGGAATGCTTACCTTGTCCTCAACTACTCCCGTTTCAATCAATGGTTTAATATTCAATCAATCCTCAAAAGTCAAAAATCAGTACCAGTCCAGTCTCCATCTACATTTTAATTAAAACAGTGTGAAATGGTCAAAGAAGTATTTTGATGAATAATTTATGGGCTGCTTAGTCGTAAAATATATTTCTTCAATATGGTTGATCTTGGATTTGGCAGGATTTAGTCTGAGTATTATACTACACATGACATATATATTTGAGAAATAAATTACATTTTCTTTTTGATGTAGTATGCTCTCTCTCTCTCTCTCTCTCTCTCTTTTTTTTATCAACACGAAAAGAGAATTTAAATTTGAGACTTCTTCTAATACTGTGTGTAATCAGACAGACAACTATTCTTGCACTTTTCACTAATATTGCGTGTCCGGTGTTTTTGCAGGTTGAACAACAAACCTTCAGTGTGAAAAATTTCACACACAAATCTTTTCTTGACCGTTTGCCACAATAAAAAGTATATAAACACAGTTTTGATCTTGACCGACCATAATGTACGAAACAGAATGGCGCCAATAATGTTCTCCTTAAGATTTCTGTTCTTCCTTTCTCCCGTTTTGTTCCTCATCAGCACTCAATCCCTTGCTCAGCCGCCTGATTTTAGAGGCATTTGGTGTTTCAATGATAAGGGCAACTACACCACCAACAGTACCTACCAGACAAACCTCAACACCCTTCTCTCTTCTCTTTCTTCGCCCTCCAACAACGGCAATGGCTACGGCTTCTACAACTCATCCTACGGAGAAAACGCCGATGAGGTTTACGCAATTGCGCTGTGTCGAGGAGATGTCACGGGGGACACTTGCCGTGGCTGCCTCAGCAACTCCACACAAAAGCTCACACAGCTCTGTCCCAATCAGAAGGAAGCTTTCGGCTTCTACGACGAGTGCATGCTTCGCTACGCAAACCGCTCCATCTACCGCGCCATGGAAGCTGCTCCTGTTTTTTGGCTGTGGAACTCACAGAACGTGTCCTCCTCCGATGTCGACGGGTTTTTTCAAGAGCTGAGGAGGCTACTGGAGGACCTAAGTCGTCAAGCTGCGGCGAACAGTTCGCTTCGAAAGTTTGCAGTAGGGACCTCAACAGCTCCCAATTTCCAAACAATATATGGACTTGCGCAGTGCACGCCGGATTTGGCCGAGCAGGCCTGCAGTGATTGTTTGGTTGGTGCTTTGGAAGATATCCCAAAATGTTGTGAGGGGAAGCAAGGTGGTAGAGTTGTTAAACCCAGCTGTAATGTTAGGTATGAGATCTCTCGCTTCTATAACCCTACAACTGTGCCTCCATTGCCGTCGTCGCCGCCGCCACTATCTAGTCCTCTTCCACCGTCAACCAGTACAGGAGGTACGTATATATGTCCCAATATGTTATGCTTTGAAGAAATAAAGTTGGCTTAATTTGAGCCCATGAATTTGTACATGGGTTACATTTTAGCCCCTCAATTCAATTTTTAGTTGTTGTAGTTGTATGGTGTACAAGTTCAGGGACCATTGCTACCATTGACACTACAACAATTTTGGGTCGAAGTGATTTCTAATGCATGTTTTATTAGGTTCATATATATATGTATGTATTCAAATTCATGCAAATGAGACATCTGATTTTTGCAGGATCGAAGAGTAACAGATCTCGGACTGTCATCATTATTGTTGTGCCAATTGTTGTTTCTGTGGCACTAATAGTTATATTCTTCTGCATTTGTTTAAGAGTAAAGAGGACAAAGAAAAAACTTGAAACTAGGAAGTTACTTCCAGGTAAGGAGGCAACTCTAGTGAACATTAATCATATTATTCCATTTGACATGGGGAAGCCAAGTAGGCATTTTTAGAGATTATAATGCTACAACTGCTTAATTTAGTTTTTGTTAAATTGTTCCTCAGGCGGCGATGATACAGATGAAATTGGATCTGCAGAATCCCTGCAATTTGACTTTGCCACCATTAGCGTTTCTACAGATGACTTTTCTGAAGCAAATAAACTTGGACAGGG